GAGTAAGGATATAAAGGAAAATGAAAAAGTGTATATAAAGACGGGGAGAAAATGAACGGAAAATAAAATAAGAAGGGGAAATATCTTGCGAACGCTTTCTGTAATGCCATAGAAGGAGACGGAAGAGGAGGACAGTTTCGAGCTTTCAATTTTAAGAAAATCCAAAGGTATCGTCGCCTCACTGAATCGCAGAAGGAATCGGCAAGCTGCTCGCGGAGGTCTCGAGAAATTAAGTTAATCGAAAAGGAGCAATTTGTTCGGGAAAGTACTGCGGCAACTGGCCGAATCGATACGACCCGCGGTGGCCGGAAATCTCAAAAAACCCTGGCCAAGATACGGTTACCTCGGCTTCGATATCAAATTTTAAAAATAGCGTAAAACTGTTCGTTCTTTTCATATTTTCAGATTTCAGACGAGTCGTATTTTAACATTTTGCAAGTGTTCGTTATAAGAGTGAATAATTATATAAAAATAGCGTAGGAATCTCTACGAAAAATAGGGAACGGAGATACGAACCCACGATCATCGGATCCACAGTCGAATCGGTGTTCTTATTTGACTTCTTCTTGGGTATGGAGCGCGATACTGTAATAGACATAAATTAAATCAGCGGTTGTTTTAGTAGCTACATTTCTAAAGTAAATTAACCTTCAATTACTCATGATTTAAACCAAATCTTGCTGGCTGGACGAAATGACATAATTTCGTTTAAAATATTGACAAGCAAAAGAATTTACATGGAATTATTCTGAATTGAGAATAGAGAAGTTAACATTGTGGCCATGGCTCGTAGGATTTTCGAGGGTCGTGCGGTCGCAACAAGCGAGCAAAGCGCTCCTCGCAGAGCGGACCTAGGCGAGTTAAAAGCGGATTCGAGCTTTGCCAGTGGCTCGAAGCGTGAATGAATAATCAAACGGAGCTGGATGATAACGCGCCGACCCTTTTGTCCTCACCGAGACAGATTATTAAACCCTTCAGCTGCTGCAACGATGGATACGGGGGCGTGTGTACCGGGACTTGGCTGGGATTATTTGCGGAAAACAACGAGAAACGTCCAGGGAAGCGGTTAAATTGTTTATCGAACCCCCTTTTTTACTTCCCGACCATTGTTGGCGAGTTGGTTTCGATCCTTCTAGGCCCGACGCCGACGGCGGAAAACAATGGATATTTTATTAGCTCACGTTTCGATGCTTTGGATACTCCGACTTTGCCCAATCGAATTTGTATACTCGTCATGTTTATAGGCACGGTACAATTTACTTCAGCCCAATCGTAAAGTATCACTTGCAGATCTATACAGAGTATTTACAGTTAAGTCTGGACAAATTCAGGGAATCGACTCTACAACTAATTTCCGACAAAATGTTCCTACGAGACATTTTTCGAAAAATCCCTTACTTTAGGAATATTTTGACGTCGTTGCTATCCGCGCACTTCTTCTTCGCGCCTACTTTTTTAATTATCGCTTTTAACCCGTGCAGCGGTGTCGCGACGCGCTTTAATTCCCGCCACGTTAGCCCCGAGCGGTTCCTTTCCTTTTAATTTTCCCTCTAAACGGACGAAAATAGTCAATTATGGACGTAACAGTTTAATCCTGTATGAAGCAGGAAGCGGTTACAGACGGCGAAACGTGTTTAGCGTTTTAAATAACGCTCGGAGGATAACGATACTCCATATTTGTTGCTCGGCCGGAAGCCGACGATGTAGAAAATTAAACTTCAGCTTTCTTTTGACGCGATCCTCGCCCCCGGTGAAGAATTTATTCCAATCTAACCGAGCTATCACATTGTTGTTTCACTTTTGTGGGTTAAATCGAGAGCGATGGTTGGTCTCTAATTGAAAGGAAATTTAACTTTGAAAATCGCAGATCTTTCGCTGGCTGGGAATTCAATTCTGGAATGATCGAGCTCGCGGAAACGCGATAAGGAACTTGAAACTCGCGTTATCGAAAGTAAGTTCGACGTTTCGTTGATTCGGATGACAATTTAAGTGATTTGCGACGAAGTAGTTCTTTCAGGCGTTGCTGTGTAACTTATTTCATTATATGAATTGTTACTCTTGGAAAAAATACTATATTGTTTTTTCCTCATTTGTTCAAATTTAAAATAATTATGTATGTAGAGTAAGAAAGATAGAAGTAATATAAAATTATTACAAAACATGTTGCATATCAATGGATTAACGATCAATTTAAACATGGCCATTACGTCGACCCTTTTCTCTTCAATTTCTTATCGGACAACCTTTTGTCCGAAATCGACAGTCTTCTGCGAACATGACAGTGGATTTCTCCCCATCGAGACCAGTTATCGAGGGTGCCTCGCAATTACATTTCCGTAATTCCAACGGGATAACTTAATTCTTAAGTTACATGGTCCGCATCCGTTTTACAGCTGTCTCTGTGGGCTCCGTTTTCCATCGTGGAATCTCAACGGCAAACAAAAGGATCATATCCGTTTCCGCAGATCCTAACTCGTGACATCCCCGCGGGGACATATATTCCGTGTGCACACTGGCACACCTTACAAGTGCTGCGTAATTCCGTTCCGTGCTAGTCAACCGAAACTCGTCGCTTTATTTAATTACAAACCACGGAAACGCTTTCAGTGTCCCCGGGAAATGATACATCACGTTTGCAATCAGCATATGATTACGGTAATTCTTGTTAAATTTACAAATTTAACGTTTCTCCTTAGGAAATATCAACGTGTGTGCAAACCACCTGCAAATTTTGCGAACTCAAGAATAGCTTGTCTCGTTCAATTATTCTTCTTGGCACTTCGACTTGTAGAAGTTTTAAAAATGACTACAGTATGCTATTGTGACATACATCTCTTCTGAAAATAAAAGCGTTCGAGGCGTTCAGCTCGTCGGTAAATCACCGTCCAATTCATTTGTTCGTAGGTTGAGACTTTTGACCCTGCCCGCGAGAGGCTGGTTGAAAATAATCTCACGCGGCGTTTTACCTCGTGAACTTTAATCGAAGCGTCCATGATACGGGGTTGAACGAGGTCGTGGGGGTGGTTAATCTTCGAAAATTTTGACCATGACGCCCGACGACGCCGGCGAAACGGTCGCCGTTCAAATTGGATGGGCGGGGCTGAAGGTCCTGGATACTAACCATCAGCCGCCATCTGCTAACCGTCGCCCGAACAATCCTAGAAACTGCTCCTCGTGCAGCGGGCTTTGCGATCGTTCCGCGTTCCAACGCCCGAAACGAAATTCTACGAATACCCCTTTCCCTTCGGGATTCCTCCACGATTTCGGTACCTTCCTCTTGCATCTTTCCTACCCTTCCTCCGCGCCTTGATCCCTTGTCCATCAAAGTTGAACAGAACTCCATTACCTCGTGCCGAGTAAAAACGTTCTGAAATTTCGAATTTCTGATTTCAAGCGTGAAAAGATGGGTCCTAATTAAACCATACATATCTCACGAGGGACTAAAGCTACGAAGAAAATATTTCCACCGTGCAGCAGGGATCTTTATGCCGAATAACTTTTGCAAAAAGATTCTTTTGATAGCTCCATTCCCTCAGGAAACATTGAACCATTTGAACGAAATACCCTGTAAAGTTTATAATCGTAACCACAGCGAACGCGTGGACTCAGTAAAAGTTGTTCCATCAACTCCATTTTCCAAACTACCTCCGTCATTAAAAATTATTCTCACACTCCAACGTTGAATACAGTGGATGCAACAAGTCTCGAATAAATAACAATTTTCGTTTCCTGATTAAAAGTGAATAAAGTGCAAATTACTTTATGAACCTCGCATCTAATCCTAAGCAGAGTCACAGTGCGATCGAAATCTGGTCTAATGGACCCATCCCTGAACTACGAAGTGTTATAACTGGTCGAGGCGTCGCAAGGAGCCTAATTTTCGCACGTCCTCCGCAGTGGCCGCAGAGCAAAACTTTTAAGCCGACTGCAGGTGAGCGTGAGGCAATGCGGAGAGGTTCGCGACCCGTGGATTCATGCTGGCGCTAATCAATGATGTATTTCCGTGCAAGTTCGTCCTAGATATCTAACCCCCGTGGCCGCCGGAGGACCCACCAGAGAGGAGGGTTTTCGCGTTATTATTCGAGCGGCGAGGTTAGCGGCGAGACACGCGCAAAGTACCTGGGAATAATTCAACAAGTTCGCCATTGAAACTGGAACGCACTAAACAACGCAGAAACAGTTGCATTGTGAATCGATGATTAATTCAATTCAGAGGCTAATGCACAATGTGATCTGTACGCGACCGTATGTTTGGATTCCTCCTGACCCTGATTTAACCACTCCAAAACTACGTTGGAATATCAACGTGGAACGTAGAATTAATTTTGGGTGCAAAATCAGAAGTTTCTTAGAACGATAAATGTCAAATATTCACTAAAGAGCAATGCCGGTAATTAATATGAAGTTGTCCCGAAAGTTTCTTTCGCGAGTTACACTCAATTATTTTATATGGTCGTGTTTATAGAAATAGACAATCTGATTTCCCAGATATTCATGTTGTAACAGTAATGGAGCAAAACGAATCGTGCACAATTCAGTAACGTAACATAAAACATCAAATATTGTCCATGTATTACTTATGAATAAAGCGAAAGAAACTTTTGGGACAACCTAATACACGATTCGTTTTGAAAAGTCAAACCATTGTGCTACCACGAATGCAATGTGACATTTGTTAATTCCCACCCCACCCCCCCCCCTTATTGTCACAAAAAAAAAAGCTGGGCTCGCAATCTAAATGTAAATTTCGTTTCACGGGGGATTTGAAATCTGTCGCTAATTTTAGAATCCACGCTAGTTTACTTTTAACATTTGCCACCCGTTGTTCCCCTTCTGGTTCGAGTAAAAAGTGGCTGACGGGTTTCAGCGTTACGAATTTACATGTTTCCACTCTTTTTACACGTAGACGCGAATGGGTTCGGTTACAGCTCGTTAACACGGACAATTATTAGCCCGCCGCAAACTTTCACGGTCTTCGTTTTTCTTCACGGGAGACGCGCAGTTTATAAATCGTTAAGACTCTCCTCTTAGGGCTTGTGCAACGGCGGTGTTTCAGAAAATGAGGCAAACAATTCCTGGCTACTCGTCGATTTTGATTCGTTAACGCCTGGCGTTCCGGTAAAGTTTCACTTGCGAAAACTTTTTTAGTGCTCCTTGATCAAATTTATAGCCTCGTGATTGGTAATAACACGATTCGCATATAAATCCCTCTATATTGGCTCTGGGATCTACCTCCATCTCGCGTAACGTATGTTCCTTTAGTGTCTTCCTTTAGTATCTTCCTCATTCAAGTGTCATTAGAAAGCCCTCGAGAGTCTTGAAACAATTAATTCATCTTGGTGTGTTGGTGACCATATTGTTGTGCTGTTCCGCTTGCTCATGCTTATCCTCCAATGCTGACTATGAGTTATAGTTTCATCTTAAATAACGCATCCTTAAATCGCTGTTTTCAAGAATCCTCTCGCAAAATATACAAACAAAACATAAAAGTGATCAGAAAGATTAATCAAACTTTGGTAAAAATCGCAAAGAAGGGATTAGAGGGATGAATCTTGGAGATATCGCAAGTATAAAGTGATTTTATAGGGTTGCCGCTCTGAACCGATCGTACATCCTCGTAAAAGGAGAAATACTGATACGCAAGGGGCATAAAATTTCTGGCAGATCCAAAGCACGTCGTACGCGAATCGAAGCGCAACGCGTAAAACTTCTGATTTTCGTCAAGAGCGCCGAATACCTCGTCAAACGATTTTCCAACGGAAACGCACGATCAAGTAATTCCTGAGCGGCGAGGGAATTACAAGGATGAAATTACGACACGCCAAAGCTGAAAGAAAATTTGATCGCGAACGTTCCGTTGCTCGTGCGTTCCGTTGGACGTGTGGTAACGTGAAATTTTTCGTGATATAACATTTTTCAACAAATAAAAGTGAAACGACGAACGAAGTAAAATACAATACGCATTACAAACACGAAAGAATAAAGTCGTAAATTGCGTTGAAAACTAAATAAATAAATGAAAATTAAAACGAATTCAAGTACAAGATAAATTAGTACCGAGCTAAATTATTATTTCGTGTTCAGCGAAATGGAGTGTAAAGAATTCGGGAATTACAGAGTGCAATTTGCACTTTCATGAGACTTTGGTTAAGATTACTTACGTTTGAGGCTCTTTTTCAGATGTTCAGCTACCTCTTCTTGGTGTGCTGTCTGTCGCGGTTATCGAGCGTTTCGGGGGTGAAAAACATCACGCACGGGGTTGCGAGACATCTAAGATCGATTGGATTCCCCGATGGAAGTGGCATGGGGGTAAAGTACCAAATAAATCGTTAATTTTTCATCGACTAATGGCCACCGTCCACCACTAACTCAATATTAACGTCGTTATATCCTCTGGGTTTTTGGGAATATACAGTTACTCGCAAAAGTATCCATCCATCTCGTACACGTAGATGATACTAATCTTTCTCATTTATAATTTAAATTATTATAATACTTATTAAATGGTATCTAGTGGCGGTGACCGGACTAATTCTTCACATATATCTTACACATATATCTACACATTGTTTACTTTTTTAATTATCATAATTCAACTTCTAATTGTTGATTCGTTCACTAGTAATTGACTGATATTAAATTTTTTAAATAAATAGAAATACCGAAAAATGTGGCTCCATCTCTTGGCGAACCGTCCGAGTTTGTCGTGAAGACCATTTAGGGCCGGCTAAAAAGTATGGAAAACGCCTATGGCGAAAAACGAATAAAGAAATGATAAATAAAAAGAAGGGACAATGAGAAAAAGGAAATGTTATAAGTTACAGGAATAGTTTTGAATATTTTCAGATTGTTTGCGCCATCTAGCGGCGCGAGATAGAAATTATTTCACAACAAACTTGGGCGGTTCGCCGGAGATGGCGCCACAGTTTTCGGTATTTTTATTTATTTAAAAAATTTGATATTAGTGGAGTAAAATGCCCACTTTTAACTGCTCATAACTTTTGAACCAATGGATTCCTCGCCTTAAAACTAGCATTTTCTTATTATAGCTCGGATACCTCGGGATCGCTAAACCCGTAGTGTAGCTGCATATTCGCATACTACAGCCCCTGAGGGGCTGATCCGTTGACAATGATAGAATTCAAAACAGACAAAATTAGATAAGAATACAAGCTTGTCTAACAAACCAATAACCGAACAATCGAATAAGCATTGCAAAGAAATCGCAGTACGGTGCTTTTATTCGTCGTTTATTATTTAAATAAAATTTTGCCTGTCTGTTGGTGAAATGCAACCATTCATTTTCGCACAGGGAGAATGATTCGCTGCATGGAAATCGTTTTACCGCAGTCATTTCCATAAGAAATCGTTGTTATTAAGAAAGGAAAAAAATTACGCTCACGTTCACAGATATTCTTCGCGCTCGGAGTGCCCATTGATATTCCCAACAAATCGGTGCTATTTTCTATGTACTTCGAAGCGAATTACGGTCTGCCCGGAGAATGGAACTCCAGTTATTATTTGGACGAGCCCTATTACAGGAAACGCAGCCTAGATCGACGAATGGCGTACGACGTTCTCGTAAACAAATTGGAAAGGTGCTGACCGGTATCACTAAACTGCAGGCTTTGCACATTTATAGCGTGCGTGCCGCTAGATGGCGGAACCAACCTGGAAATACAAAAAACCGTGTGCAGAATAATAACATCACAAAATCAAATAATGATATTACAATATTTAATTTTTGAAAATATTAATATTCCGTAGAATTTCTACATATAAGTTTTCTTGTGAGCACATGCCATAAATGCAACAAAACCGCAGTTTAGTCATCAGTAATGGAAGATTTTATCAATGAAAAAATAATACCTCGAACAGTTTCGGTTACTCCGGAGAAACTTGTCTGTTAAAAATGATCTGCGAAGTCGCGAACTGTCCCCTGACAAACAATGGAGTATTCGGCGATATTCTGCACATTCTGTTCACGTGAGTATACAAATGATGAGTAAACGCATGATTAGAGTATTCACAACGATATATTTTCTTACATAAATCCATTTATTTGATGTATATAATTTTATAAGCAATGTTTCGTTTTAAATATGAAGAGGTAATACGATAATATTACACCATTTCCTTACAGGCCATCCTCTTCCCAAGATGAAGGACTCCCAAGCACCATCACCGAGGCTGAGTATAGAGAAGACTGCGATAGCTACTATGAAAAATGTCCCCAAAGTCCATTAGCCCTGATAAGCCAGAATCTCGACGCTAATACTTGAAGAAGCCATGCTATTAAATGCAAACTTAATATTAGGATATCTCAAAAAAATTGCGCGACTTTAGTTACTTTGCTTCCCGAGATAGAAAGCTCGTTGTAAGATTAAAAATAAAATGCAAATGAACCAAAGCTTGAAATGTGACGTATTTTCTGAAACACTTCTCCATAATGAAAATAAAGAAATTACACGTATGCAATAAGAAGACGAAATCTAGCTGTACAGGTTGCTTTAAATTACGGAAAGAATATAAATCATTCCCGCAACCCGGTATGCAATGTTTCCCCAAACACGATAGTCAAATTCGCTTCGATAAGCTACATCTAGATTTTGACAACACAAAGAGCAATGATAAATTAGACCAACGCGAGGCAAACGTACACAAACGAAGTTTGTGCGTGCATTTCGACCGTTAATGGTCAGTACACTGAATTGAATATCGACTGCGATAAGCGCTAGTTCAAACACGATTTGATCACACAAATCCGTTGTAAATATTAACTCGCGTGATTAACTACCCTTGAGTTTACAATAACTTTGCAGCAACTTCTCGTGTATTATGTCGATCAGTACGATGGATTTGTTCTATGATAAAAGAACCCACTCAAACTAGTAAGACAAAATAATACAACATTAATGCAATGATCTCTTTAACGGTACCACGAAAGCAATGAGCAAAATATTATAAAAGAAAAAGACGAAAGCGATTGAGAATAATTAATAATAATTTCTTTAAATTGGTAAGATTGTTCGGCTTGATTTATACTCACTGTTTACACAACATATAAGAGTATAGTTTGTTCACATGCAACAAGTACAACGTACATTAACGTGGCGATAAGTTTCGCAGAATAAATGAAATACCTGATTTTACCGAGTTCGATCGCTGTATTCATAATTGATTTCACAATAACAATACATGGACAATGCAGTGTACAACGTCACAGACCAGCTGGCACGATTGTTACAGATGAAAATTTAATCTAAATCTCACAGATACGAAAATGAACTAACATACAAGGATGGCTGTATTCGAATAACGTTGCAGTTGAAATACTTCTGAAGTACTAAATATGTGTTTAGTGCTTAGAACAAACGACGAGCAACCTGACATATTGTATTCTGTAGTGACCATTAATAAATAAATAGTAATATTTTTCATAAATAATTATATGTATAAATCGTTTCTAAATAATGACATTTAAAATTGTTTTGAAAACTGTTTTGTATACTCTTTGCTTACACACAATATGTAGCAAATACATCATGCAAATTCTTTTAAACTTTTAACAACAAACGAATACAAAAGTAGTAATTCGAATACTTTCTGAAATAAATTTCACCCATCCCTATTTGCAAACAAATGCTTTAAGGAATAATGTAACGAATACGGTCACTCGCTAAAAATTTAAATGCACGTAGATTAACGTTACAGCAATTTAACTGTAATTTTCATTTGACAGAGACAAACATATTTATTTCGCGAATCACAATATTCTGTCGACTGGTCAAAATGTATTGTGCCTTCAATTTTTGTTTATGGTGGCGCCGAATTAGGTCTAAATTAAATACCGGACATCTCAGTTCGAATTCCCAACGAACAAACTTCAAGTTTCGATTCTTTTAACAAGAATGGGCAGAGGAGTCCTGTCTTCCACGACGTTCCGTCTTTTTGTGAGTTGCAGAAGGTAATGTGATACGTTTTCGTATACCAAAAACGTGATCACAGTTGCCGGAGTCACCCTGGTCAGGTTCGCGCTCAAACCCTTGTAATAGCCACGCCACCCTTCATATCTGCAATTAGCCACCAGTAATACGCTTTCGTTATTTGCTTTCACTTTCTGACGTTCAAATTGTATAGAATCTACAATATATTTCCTCATTCGCACCGGCGTACGATTCTTGTCGTATTTTTCAAAGATTACTCTCCACTGAACAAGAGCAATCATAAGTAACAAAGATATAACTGACACAAAATCAGTTTTGATTGATGATATTCGTTAATGAATTCTACTACGGTTCAACTATATTGTATATTCCAAATACTTCATTATTTTTGTCGACCAGCAAATGGAAGCGTAAATGATTCGTAAAACTAAAGAAATGGATAAAGGAGTCTCTAAAAACTCGTACATTTCCAATTCTGTATAATTTATTTCTCATTCATATGGTTTTGTATTTCTGGTGAAATGCAGGTACAAATACAACGTATAATCGTACGTACTGCGTCCAAAAATCGTACTGCTGGTGGTTTCGCAATTGAAACGTCTGATCGCAATTACGTCCACGTCACACACGCCCATAAATTCACGGCATAGAGACAAAGATATTCCCATCTTACATATTTTGTCGCGTAAACATCCGTGGTCCCGGCACTGCGATTAATGTATTTGTAAAAATATTCAAGTAAGAACGCGTGGGTAACGCGAAACTGTGTCGAAAGCACCTACTTGTCACCGAAAAAAGATATCTGAACAAGTAATGAGAATACTCAGTGGTGCGAGTTCAGAATCCGTGTCTTATACAAATATATTTCGTCGATTGATTTTTACAGTTCCCGCAGACTATTGTGAAACGCAAATTCCAGGGATCGATTCGTTCAAACCAGAAGAGAGAGCGTCTAAATAAATCAACAGCCAATCGAACGTGAAATAATCAACAATCAGTTGCTGTGCTTATTATTAAATCGTTCATAGTCGTATTTTCAAAAGGCCCGTATAAATAAATTCGACCTACTTATTAAACGTTACAGTGACATTGAATTTTATTGCTACACTTCGGTTGCTCTGAGTACCAGACTCTACAACATTCATCTAACGTAGGTGACTCGAAATAAGGTGCTTATTCATTGCATACAAGAAACATGAGAGCACGAATAACAATGAGATTGTAGATAATAATTACATTCCTACGCATACACTTGTCTTAATATCCTTTATCAATGAGACTTTCGATAGACCCCATGACTTTGCAGATCACGCAAAGATGTCGGAAATTCTCGTCTACATTCATGTTCACACAGTCGCATTAGAGAGACGATATACAAACCCTATAAGCATACGCATAGTCTGTTGCTTATGCAATTATGTGATCAATTGAAATGTAAATTTAACTATTATACGCTTTACCTTCCATCTTTTACTAGTTAAATTTTTACAATAAAATAGGAATTCCAAAATAAATATTGCTCTTAATTATTAGACGAAGAATATTAATTTATGTTAATCGGAACTATTAGATGTAATTTAATAATTTGAGTACATGACACATATATTTTACGAGTGCCAACTCGCGTAAGAGTCACTATAATATGAGAGATAATTAAGTTAGTTTTCGTTACAATACATAAGTATCCCCTTCTACGCTTTACAAGTGCAAATAAAATTATTTTGTACACATAAGATGTCGAATAAATTAAAACGTAACCTCAAATAACCTGTGCATATTACTATCACTTCAAAAACTACATCGTACAATGCGAGAAGATTTGAAATAGTATTTGCTCAGTGCACATGTGTATTTTTTATTCATTACAAAATAAAATATTTAATCGTTAATATGAAAGAATCGTCTATAATCAAATGACCATAAAATAATACATATTAAAGACTGCCTTCAATTATTCCTAATAAAAAAAAAAAAACTAATGCTGTGTTTATATCTTTCGAAAATAAACTTGAATTAAAATATTATATTACGTATCTGTCTCTATAATCTCGAAACACTTGCAGTTTAATAACTTCACTGAAATACTATTATTAAGAACAATAATGCTATTCCTATAGCATTCGTTCACATATTTCATAAGTTACTTCTGCAAACGAATCCCCCAAAATATTCTCTAAATCATTTGAATAGTTACCTTTTATAACCATGAAATATCACAATATATGTATTTTGTGAGAGAAATATTCAACGATATGTAACAATCTAAGTTTTGCAATTAATTTATACCAATGTAAAGCAAGGAACGGCATCATAGAAATACATATTTCAACACTGCAGAGACTTCGCCGCTTACATGAAAGTATATGTACGGTAGAGTAGCAGCTTTTTCTAATAATACTGTTTCAAGCGTACTCTCGACCAACCAAAAAATTTCGAAATTTCGGAATAAAAGTTACACTTAAGCGAATCTATTCTATCAAATTTGTAAAACTGTAAAGCTGGGCAAATCCAATATCAAAGCATAACTCGATCTCCATAAATTACAGAATATTCAACTGAGACTAATGTTTTCTTTTTCTTCTATAGTTAAAAAATTAGATTAATATAATCTAAACAGTCAATGAGAGTCTTTAAGCACATTAGAAAATGTTTCGTAAATTACGGTAATTAGACAAATATTTGGTGTAACATGTACTAAGTATGGTGTTAAGCCTTTATAAAAACCCCTCATGCCTTCTGACCTCCATATCGATCGTATGCATCCTATGCTGCCAGAGTAGTTGTGATGATGATCTTGAAGTCGCGCTCTTACAACTTGGTAAGGATAAGTAGAAGCAGCGGCAATTAATTTGGAGATTGCCGCGAAGACGATGTATCTCATTGTGCACTGTAAATAAAGAATATTGTTTGTAGGTCGATCTGTTTTTTAATAATAAACTTATATACTAGATATCGAACTTACCAATTTAGTGTCTATTGGCAAATTTAGGCGACTGTTGTATTGATTTTTCAGCTCTTCATAGACCATAAACTGAATGGCACCGTGTGAAACACCAACCATTCCAGGAACGAAACCCTACAATTAATAATATATTAGTAATGAATAATTCATTAATATTCTCTTGTATAAATAGTGAGTTTACTAACCCGATACAAGCCTTGGATTCCTTCTGTTCTATAAATTTTTTGAATCGCATCTATCGTGCCCTTGTATCGGTACTTTTCTGGAAGATTTGCATCATCCTTATACTGTAAACACAAACGTGTCTTCACTACCCAAAGTGGATTGGTAATAAGTAAAGTAAGAATCCCAGCATCTGCTGCAGCAAACATATGCCAGGAGGGTCCCAATGGTATTCGACTATTTCCTCCTTGAATCCAGCCTTTAAAGGTATTGTAGCTAAATAATAAGAATTCTAACATTATTATACAAACTCTAATAGGTTTATTTCAAAATTGATCCTTTGTAATAATTAAGATCAATAGAGGTTCTTACAAAAAGAAGTAGCAACCCCACGCACCGCCAGATCCTAATACATTTGGTGTTACACCTTTGTAAAGTCCTCGCACACCTTCAGTCTTGATAATCTGTTGTATTGCACCTCTAAGACTTTTATATTGTGGACCAGACTTCGGACTGCCATCATTAACTGTAAGAAAGAAAACAAACGAACATCGTTTATTTTATTAAAACCGAATCTGCGTTTCGATTAATTTTTTGAGTGGTACTATGGTCAGCTATCGTTTATTCTGGTTCAACGCGATGATATTGAAGAGAAATCACGCGATAAACGAAATCTAAATATTTTTTCACTCCGATGGCGTATCATGGTTTATCGGTTGCGCTTATTAGAACATCAGTCACGTGACTCTGTATTGTGTGGAAAGCGCATTTTATTTTTAATTAGTGATTCATTAATCGTTTAATTAATTACTAAGGACAACAAAGAAATGATTACATAAATATTTACGAACAGTGCTGGTAAATAGGTTGCAAAATGCGAAGAACCTTTTAACGCGATAACGAGTGTACTGATAAACATCAAATTATACAAAAATAGTATACACATTTTCCTATATAGTACCAAGTATTCATTGTTTTATAATAGCGAGTAAAATTTTATACGAATAAATGACGAATAAAATCAAACGTATAGCAACGTTTTATTTGCGAAATTTATTCGATAAATAATTACTCAGATAAGTTTTTCTCCATTCAATATGAGATACAAAATCATTCTGTAATTCAAATTCCAATATTTATTTAATAATTAAAGAATAATAAGTCGCTTATTTATTATTCATTATTCGAGATTTTGTTCACTTAAATAACCTTAAATGTTTTAGTGCCAAGCAATGCAATCACGCTTCTTCAGACGATTCGTGACGTAACAAGACAGACAGTTTTGTTCTCCATTCTTTTTAATCATAGCGAGACAATCGTACAAGTTTAATTTATTCAATACTAAAACCAGCGAAACTCGGAGCATAATTTTGATTCATAGAATCAAACATTTGATCATGCATTCTTCCTGTTAAGAGTAATTTTAATGTCGGAAGAACGCGTTAAAATTTCATCGTTGAATCTCACGTGCTTCTGACGTAATCCACTAAATTTCTTGCTGTTTGGTGTGCGGCCAACGAATTTTATGACGAAAATACGTCGGCGACGAGCCTTTTCCATTATACAGTAGTCATCGGCCTTTCGAATGATAACAGAAGATTAAAGCTATGATAGATAAGCTCGTTAAAGCCTATAGTGTTTGTTCACAGCCTTATTATGTATCCAAATCTTCAAACGTTATAATTAAAGTATGATGTGCTTTAAAGTAAATAAAACTCCTAGCTACCATTCGAGTAATACCGTTTACTATTAATTTCAAATAATTTATTTTAATTAAGCAATGAAACTAAATAAATAATCTACAAAAATTGTTATTCACGAAATTAATTTCGTCAACGTTGATACTGCAAATGTTATACATAAACCATTCACCATAACTTATTTAGACAACTGACGTCGGTGAGTGGGAATATACTCCTTCAAGTCAAATAAAATGCGATAAATATTCAAAGATGGTTGTGCAATCAAGTTATCTATCATTCGCTACATTTAAGCAGCAAATGTAAGGAACAATAGAAAGCCGCAGACATCGCTGTATCGTTAATATCGAAAGACTAATTATTGATAATCCACGATATATGCAATAAAAATTTCGATTTCGAATTATTTTCGTTTCGTTTGATAGACATTTCTACTTTCCATTCGTTGGTGTAAACGAAAGTCCACTTTCCACCTCGCTCGAAAATATGGCGGACTATCTCAGGATCTAGTTTTGTTTTTGCACTCGCCGAACCGAAAAATAATGAAGGTAAAATACAAACATCTGTTACTCAACAATTTCTCACGAGGAAAAAAAAAGGAATAAATTACAATCATGCCTCGAAGATATTTAGCAATTACTAATAATTTCAAGAACGTATCGAAGTAAAATTTTTCCATTTCGATGCCGAGTGGGATACTATTGATGTATATTTTTATGACATTTCATTGGACAAAAACAGCTAGATAAGATTAGTTTTTCATCGTCTGCAACAAAGTAATTATCCCGTCGATACGGTACATACATCGAGCTCTAATTACAAGCGTAATTGCGCGAAGTAACTGAAAGACAATCATTTCTGACTCGAGGACAATTATTATCATTCGACAAATTAAATTTCGATCGTGTTAATCATTATATTTTCGTGTAAAACGTATTACCGATCGATATGCTTGCAATCGTTTTCGCATGAGCAGATGGTGACTAGCGCACGCTACGCGACGGTCAAAAATACTTCTAGATCTTTCTCGACAACGCCACGTGCTTCTTCAAATTGACCTTGTCGTATAATCTCATACGATCGTCGACCCAAAACGTCATCGATTTCTACTCAATTACTGTACATAATAACCACGATTGCAAACGTTAACAAGCTCCCATTGTTCTAAAGTATGCATCTGTATTTCCTTGTCTCTCGTCGCGGTAACAATTAACAATGCACGAACACTTCTATTTCGTGCACATTCAAACAACGACTACTTAACTTCCCGATAAGCCTTGAAAATAATATCTCATAATACTGAGCGGAAAATTCGAATGGTCATAAAATCTGTTGCCAACAATTGTTATTTTCGAGACTGCAACAACTAAGAATACAATCTGTCGCAATATCTTTCTATTCTGTAGCGCGAGAAAATGTGAATTTAGACAATATCCGGGAAATTGTTCCGGATGTGAGATATTTGGCGATTGGAGGCACACATAACTGACCCACAAGTACGGTAAACGCGGTTTTTCGTGATCCACTCTGCTCGTAATTCGTAGACTGAACGCAGACGTAAATTTATTGATTTATTTTCTCGAGTACGTACAGTTGATCAAAAGTCGAATCATTTGCAGTCATGCAAAATGGAAAGGCGATAAGAGTTTTCCTACTTTTCTATTTTATATCTCAAAATTATTGGTACACAATAAATCAATGAGGAAAACTTGAAGTATATATTTAGAGCTACTTAGGTTTTTGTAATCTATTGCAAATGTTTGATAAAGTTTTTTAAAGTGCTTGGCAAACATCCAGTTTAGTAATTAAGATAGAAAAGGAGAAATTATTTCAATAACATGCTATCTTGATGACTCATTGAAAAAATGAAAATTGTAAGGAAAGTTATTAACAGATATGAAAATGAAGCAGAAATAGAAAATAAGACAGGGTGCTATATAAAGAAATTATTAATTTCTTCAAAATAATATTTTATTAATCAAGAATTTGAAGAAAACTCTGATATAAGTGGCCCTGAAAAAAATATTCTACAATGAACAGAATGTCAAATACTTGCATGACACAGTTTAACATTTGATGGTAATACTATGATGACAAAGGGATGGTAAGTTGTTATAATGTTGATAAACTACATTAAATATTTCCTTTCGTGTTCCATGCTTTGAAAAATAATGATCAAAACTACTAATTTTGTAATAATCTTTTGTTGTCTTCTTATTTAACATTCTACTGAATGTTAAACGCAGCTGTGCATGATCCTCTCTGTTGGTAACTCGCAAACTAAACGCACGCAAGTTTATCGATTGGTCTATTATTACCTCGTATGGGAATTCTTTGTAATAATACAAATTTCGATAAACCGTCCCATGTCTTTGTCAAAGGATCCTATCTGACGTCTATTTTCAACCCTTTCGAAATCCGAATCCGATATTACACTGTATTACACCCGGAAAAATAAAAGAATTATTATAGCTTCGTATCACAGAGGGTGAAGTTCATGGACGAAAAAAGACTTTCCCGACATAGGTACTAGTAATCGATTTCGTATACATATACCACTCAAAGGGAGGGAAGGAATACAGTTTCAGTTCCTATCACAGATGGCTGATAATCCAGATCAAAATTAGAACGGGAATCATAGAATGAAATGATCATCACCTCAATGATCAAATCAAAATTCAAGATCGAATGAACATTGTGAACGAATTACGGTTCTTTCATCATGTATTATTAAAATGAAAGTTAGCCAATCTCTGACCCATGAAATTCTGCACTTCGTATATTTATCCGTTCGCGTTAAATTTCGTCCGATTATTGATCAAATCCCAGGCAGAAAGTGTTAAAGTAATGAGTCACGCGGACAAGCAGACAAACAGACACAAAGAAATCTCCACGTTCTTATCGTGGCACGTGCACCACGTGTATTGTAAGTACAAACCCACCATTTGCATCAGACTGTTCTGTCGTCAGCGAGAAAGTACTATAGCTGAGGTGCTTACCCGCAAATCTGGTCTTGATCAGGTCCAGCGGATGCAGCAACAGCGTCGAAACCACGCCGCCGGATATACCGGCGAGAAAATGCTCATATTTCAATTGGCTCAGCATGGGAACGCTGGTGGTCCCCGGCGAGCCGGTGTTGGTCTTTATCAACGACATTTTCCCTGGGACGGGTTGCTGCTGTTGATCGTTCGTTACCGATTTGCCAGTGGGAAACCCAGTGGCATTCTCCGGGACGTTAACAACGCTCGACTCCACTCTTCTGCATATCTCTTGGTCCACGACAGGCAGTGTGGTCGCGTCGACGTAAACGTGAGACACGACCGAAATCGTTCGCGCCGCGATTTTGTTCCGTCTCGCTTACACTTTTAAATGATTACGCAACGCGTCAAAACGTTGCATATACCGGACACCATTGTACTGAGCCGCTGACTGTTCGACTGGCTGACTGCCCACGCCGAACGCTATGCGCGAGTTCACTATGCGCAGCCATCTTGCACAGCTGCTCCCTCTAGCGGAAGAAACCACCAGCGCGGCAAATTCAATTCAAATTACAATTTACTCGAAAAATATCAAGTCGAGTAACTCGAAAATTAGTAGAGACAGAGATAAATGTTATGCCAAGAAAATTGCTTGGTCTGGTGTGATGAATAACGTGACAATAGTTGAATCCTTGCGTAATTACAGGTAGCGCTATTATATTCAGAAAAATGACTTTCTTATTGAAGTCAGTTCCCCAAAACTGAATCAATCCATGTAATTTATTTTTCAGAATAATACTTAGTTCAAATTATGTTTAAAGTGATAATCATGTACAGCTGCGTATTAAGCAGCAAGAAAAATCATAAACCTGCAGAAACTTCTTATGCAGCTTGTTTGCGTAACAATACTAAGAATGCTTTTTGTCTAATGAAATATTAAAGTATTATCTGTAAATATTACTTAATAGATAAATCAGTACTGATTTTTCTATTTTTCTTAATAGATAAATCAATACTGATTTTTCTATTATCAATGAATGTCGCAAAAAGGTGTACTAGAGAACCGCAAACCCTGTCCGATAAGTCAGAAAAGTGCTTATCTCTTCAATTTCTGATAGGTCGCGGCATGTGTTAGTGTTCGACGATGAACGGATAACGAAATTTTTATCCGATGTCATGATAGAATATCTTAGTGACCAGTCGTGTTCGCTGTTGTATTAACAGTCAGTGAATTGAACGGTTCACTTCGTTATATACTTGCCGCGGAAATGCATAAAGACAAGTAAATCCGGTTGAGGTGAAAGTAATTATCGTTAATTGTGTTATGCTAAATCCAATAATTGCAATGCTTGATATCAAATTTACCTAGTTATGCTTAATTTAGTGTAGATTACGCGTACAACTCAATTACAAATGTCTTCGAGTCTTTCGGAGTTTCGAGTATAAAATACCTCTATGGCATTGATTTGCATAACGATAGCGAAAAAATTAATTTTTTGTAATCTAAAATGACCTTTCTCCATTGGCTGTCGAAGGCTGTGTCCCAAATGGTAAGTACATTTCATTAAAATATTTAGTATTTTGTGTTAAATATTTGACTAAAATGAAGTAAATATCGAAAAGAATTAGATTCTGATAATTCGAGATTATTTATTTAACGAGAATAAAAGTGTCCCGTGCCAGATAGAGCAATGCTGAAGGTCACTTGTATTTAATGGATTCATGTTGAACGTTGCAAAATGCAAGATTGTATAAACTGATTGCAAGTCAGATTCCGTAATGCATTCAATACATCGAACAAACACAATACTACCTTCCAACGCAACGCAAACTGCTCTCATTCAACTGCACAGGAAATCGGGTCCAAAAGTATAGTCGCCATTCTTCGTTCATTTTCCGAATTCAACAAAATTCTTTGGCAGGTACATTTTTAAAGATCTACACTTTGAGAAAATGCAATAAAAAAAAAAATCTGGTATTTTGAAAGTTCTAGATTAGAATACCCCCTTAATATACTCATTCTATATAAACAGAAACGTCATTTAGAACAGTCCATAGGCATATATTTCATATACAATTTTTAAGCTATATACACGATACATTTTGATACAGTGGACGTTAATTTACACAATGTTGCATCGTAAACTCTCACGGACAACTTTAGGAAACATTGCGATCGTTTTTCACTGTAATAAATTTTGAACGACATTGACCTCGGAACGATAAATGTATTTCTATACATGGACGACCCGCATCACATCAGGAAGTCAGATATAGGTGCAATAGTCCCATCGAATCTATACATATACACGTGTAGGACATGCTGTCTATTAGCACCATCCATCTAAGCGTAGAGAAATCTCAAGTTCAGTTTTACTTATCGCAGCGTGTAGTTGCCCGTTGTATTTGCGATTGCTCAACAATTTTGCGAACCAAACGACAACACGGTGAAAAGAAAATGCAATGTGGAATCGTTACAATGGAAGGTGTTGCCCGTACCTCAGAAAAACACACAAAAAATACTTATGTCTATTGGTGAGTGAGTTTTCGACCGATTAAAAAAGTAACTTTTACGAGAAAGTGACAGGAGGTTCAACCGGTTTGATCAAGAACGTCGATTACGATTTTTTGATTATATTATTTACCTATTGATTCGAGGTGTTATCTCTATACGTCACGCACTTCCGCTGAATTTATACGAATCAAAATAGTACGTCCTTCTATGAACTTGAAATATCCGCGAATTAATTAAGATTCATAGCAACCGACATCAAATCTTTGTACTCGTTTGTGTGAATGATCTTGCTGCCAGTCGATGGAGCAGCTGCTGGCAGTCGACCGCCGTAAACGACGTCTTCCAAACGGAGTCCCAAGGCTAGCGCTATCCTGTCCCTCACGTAACCATAAGGACCCTGGTTTTTGTGTTCTTCTTGCAACCACATGATCTAAACACGCGATACACGTACATTACAAACTGCTCCATTAGTTGGTACAAATCCTTTAACGAGATTACCAGTCGAATGTACGAACTGTATAATATTTCGACCCGACTTTTTTACCATATTTGCTATTGCTAAAGCATATTTCGTCATACGCGATTCAGAAAGCCTGTCAAGTTTTATCTTTATGCGTTATCTTCCTTTACCTTGGCGTTAGGGTATTTCGCCACTTCCTGAGCGAGGAGGTGATACGGAAAGGGGCAAAGTTGCTCGATTCGTATGATTGCTATTTTATCTTCCAATTTCTTCGTTTGACGTTCCGCGGCCAGGTCGTAGTACACCTTTCCACTGCAGATTAATACCTTTTGTATGTTTCCCGATTTGACGAGGGGATCTGGGAGAATTGGCAGAAACGAAGTGCCGGGTTCCATTTCTTTGAAAGACGACAGGGCCATTGGATGACGGAGCAGGGATTTAGGTGACATGACGATCTGAGCGAACGAACGATTACAATGTTTACAGCTTGAACAGGAACTGCGATGTAAAATATTTTTAGTTGTGTTTGGTCGCGATGAACTCGAATTTTCATGGTTTTAAGAGTAAGGGAGCTCTAAATGCTACAACTCTGACGCATTGGGGATTCTAATTCCAAGATACACACAATGAAAGGTATCCGTCACTTTCAAGGAAATAAAAAAAGGAAGCAATAATTAGAAGGACTCCTCAAACTACAGGCAAATTGAACCGTATCTAACCAGTGGTTTTCGGAATGGCATGAGAATTTGTCGCCTTAAAGCGTGGAACATGTTCGCTGGTGTGGTAAAGTTGCAAACGATCCAGTTAATTTCGAACAGCTGTCGTGTCATGATCTGTTCCGGAGTTTCTCCTTGAGGAGCTCCTGGCTCCGTACCCGGGATATAGGTGTAATCATCGTCGCACAATTGAAGAAGTCGTTCAGGCCTCGCGGACGAGTGCTCGGGTCCTTGACCATCCATTCCGTGAGGTAGCAAAAGGACCAATCCCACTTGCCTGCCCCATTTTGATTGTCCAGAGCAGAGGAGAGTATCTAAGGTGACCTAAGGATTATTTTATTCAAGGATTCCTCTTTTAATACCATTCTACGCTCTGCATACTTGTGTAACATGTTGTTCCCATCCTGTAAGACTACGATTAATCACTAACTTATACGATAATATGAAGATTTTCTAGAAAAGACTTATCAGTTTCATCTAAAGATAAGCCACGCCGATACAAATCTATTTTACTCGTGAACTATATATAAAAGATGATTACCTGACAAGTGTTTGCGAAATCACCGAACTGGCCTTCCCAAAGCGTCAATGTATTGTGATTGTAGGCCGAGTATCCTAATTCGAATCCTGTATGCACGATCAACAGCTGTTCATCCGAGTCTCTTACCGTGTTTTTGTTACCTCTCTTTTCCAACAAACTCACCGCAGACACCGTACTCCGACAACGAGGAGTTGGACACGGTGTACAGGGCTTGTCCAGGGAACACGTCGTTGAGAATATTTTTGTAGACTTTGTCCCTGCTCTGGTCGTGAATGATGTGGACGCGGTGCGAGAAAGTGCCTCGCTCGACATCCTCGCCGGATAGTCTCACGTGATGACCTTCTTTCAGCAGACTGAGAAACGCTAGACATTCGCCCATCGCCCAGTCCACCTTGCGAGCTTCCGTCAAATGCGATCGTTTGTCCATCATTCTCAGCACCTGGAGTTTATCGAAGAAATTTTACAGGATCGATGCTTTTCTGTACGTCTGCATTTTAACGATCGACATTGAAATACTTCTCGTCGATTTAATAATCTCGTACTTGATTATGCGACTCGATATCTTTGGGAGGCGTAGATATAGCCTTGCAAATCGCCAAAATCGTTTCCACATCGATGCCAGTCGGCGGTATGCTGGCTTGTGGACTCTGATTAGCAAAGAAATCGGTCCACGGTATATCGTGCCAATCGCTCAAGTTTACCGAGTCTATTGTCTGCGCTTTTTCGTACTCCTGTTCGCAGTGTTCCAAATATTTTTGTACTTCCTAGAACGACCATGAATGCACAATATGTTCGATAATGACTGTGTGGAATCTCTACTTCTTTGGCGAACGCCTCAGTAATCACTCCCTCCTTGATCAGCTTGTCAGTGTAAATAGCGAGCACGTTAGGGTGTTCCTTTATACGCTTGTACATCAAGGGCTGAGTGAGCATCGGCTCGTCTAGCTCGTTGTGACCGAATCGTCGATACCCTACGATATCCAAGACGACGTCGTTGTGGAACTCTGCTCTGTTTGATCGATTTCATAGAAAACAATTGGATCAATTTTCTATTTCACGTCGAGAAATGTTTATCTCGAGGACTTGTACTCCTCGATATTACGAAAAAGTCTCGTAATACACAAATGAAATTATCAATGAATAAAGACGAAAAACAATCCAGTAATACATCACGAAATGTGTAATAGAAAGTCATCGAGGACTTTCCGAAAGGAACCGGCAACGAACTTGTCGGCGGTGACTTAGCAGATGTCTGTTCGCATCGTGAAATGTAAAGAACCGCATAATGTACCTATATTCGCTGGCAACTTTGCTGCAGTAGGCCACCAAGTCGGGGTTATCGCCATGTATGTGGAATATAGGAGCATTCACGACACGTGCTACATCGGTGCAATGGGCGCTAGACCGTGAATACCTCGGATCGGTAGTGAAACCTATCTGCAGTTCGTGGGAAATGAAATTGTTTATGCGATGGTCCAACTATTCGTTATGATAAAATTGCAGAATCCCGAGTTAAGTCACCTGATTATTAATAACGACGTGTATGACACCGCCGGTTGTGTACTCTGGTAGGTCAGTCAGATGCATGGTTTCGTAAACGATGCCTTGGCCAGAGAAAGCAGCATCGCCGTGAACCAAAATAGCCACAGACTTCTTACCCACTGAAAAGGATGAATTCTTTATCATTCCAGATTCCAGATAAACCTCATCTGCACGAATGCAATGCGATTTTAATTGCAAAGCTGTCTGCATACGATATTCTTTTCTCAACGACCCTGTCATGTAACATGTATAAAGTTTCAGTGATTTTGATCTCGAGTTGACGTCAGGCTACCAAAACTGTGCAAGAGTAATAGTAATTGCATTGAGAAGCGAATTCGAGAAAGAATAGTGGCTTACTTTATTCGTACCACGATATGAACATGTTACACTGACAAAGTCCTCGTGCACTAACGATATGATATTGTATAATTACTTTTAGCGTCGTTTTTCTCCACTTGCTCAGCTCGAATGCGACCAACCACCACGGGATCGATCGCTTCCAAGTGGGAAGGATTGGCCATTACAGAGATTACAATCTTTTTGTTGCTCCTGTAGATCCAGACAATAATAAATAAATATCTTTCTCAAGGGACAGTGTTCGGATTGAACGTTGTTTCACCTCTCTAGCATTTTATCCGCGTGCATTCCTAAGTGATACTTCACGTCCCCAGAACCGAAACCCTCCAGAGGAATCGGGTTGAACTGAGTGAGTAGTTGATGCAGCGGCTTCGAGCAGACGTTGATCAAGGTATTCAGGCGACCACGATGAGCCATACCAATCACAACAGTCTCTACCCCTACAAAAACATTTTATTAAATTTGTTGAGAGAGAACGAGTAGTCAAATTACGTTGGAAAGTTCTAAGGCTTACCCTTTTCAGCGGACACTTCGCAGCATTCCACCATCGATGGAATAAAAGATTCACAGCCTTCAAGGCCGAACCTCTTTTCAGTAGGATACTTCTTGGCCAGAAAACCCTCGAACGTTACTGCTCTCATGATGTCCTTCCAAACGAACCTTCTGTGCTCCACCGGTAGGGTCCAAGCGCCTGGGACCTCGAACTTATCCCTCAGCCAGTCTATCTGAAAAGTACTCTTTATAATGTTTGGGTGTAGAGTTTCCTCTAGTTAATTAATATAATTCCTTTAACCAGTTGGCTGTGGCGCCCTTATATGTATCTTATATTCATGCACCCTGACGAAAACCAATGTTACCCTCGTTACATCTGCTTGGAATCTTTTAAACGAGACACAGTGCTTACCATCGTGAGGTCGTGAATGTAAGTGTACTCGAGGCCTAAATGTCCACAGTAAACGTCGTTCAACCTGATCAGTATGTCGCGCAAAGGGAGACTTCGTTTTGGTCCTCCAATCACGGTGAACGATGCAAGGGGAAACTCTCTGTTCATGTCAGCTTCGGTCACCCCCTTCAAGTGCTCTCTAACCACGATAAATGGCGGTAAATTCGGAGTACCTTGAAGCTTGTGAGACTCAGGATTCTGAATGCGCAGGGGATCGATGTCGGCTATCAGATGAGCGCGTGCCTTGAACAAACACAAATGAAGGTTAATCCACGAGAATTTAATCGGGAATATCACGAGGAAAAAGATTGTCTTAGGCAGTGATACACGACAGACACCTGATAAGCCCTAATCAAAGCGTTGATGTCCAGTGCACCGTTTATAAATCTTTCACCTTGTAGTTCGCTGTCCGATTTTGCTCTCACGCTCTGCTGGGGGAATCCTGGCGACGCTGCGAAGCGAAAAGCAAACACTTGGAGTCACATCTTTATGTACCAATTTTAGATAAGCTTGTGTAACAGTTAAAATCCTACTGTCAATACGATGGCGTTCAAGAGTACCAGGCACTTCTACGACCTCGAAGTAATATAAAGCACATTAGGTGAACGGTAGCATTTTCCAAACTGGACAACGAGAATGACTATAGCGAGCTCTGAGATAAGGTTCTGGGGCCGGCTCTGCCGAAGAACCCTTTCATCACCTTTGCAGGATTATTTGAAAGTTACATCGTCCCAGTAGGAAAGCGACCCACTTAGCCGTTTCGCTGGGAATCCGAGGAGAGACCTCGGATTTTCTCCGGAACGTTGATTCCCAAGTGGACAGTAATCTTGTAATATGTTCCAAGGGCCATCGACAACATCAGGGGACGGACCCCTATACCCAAATGACAGTGCGACGACACGATTATCATTTTTAATTTTTATACGTGCCCAGTAATATTGAATGCGCCTGTATCTCAAAGGGAAAGGCACCTGTCGCTAACTTTGCGGTCAGGTTCGACGGCAGAATCGAAGGTGTTGATTCGACGCGTGCAACCGGAGCTTTCGCAACCATCGGCAAGCCCTCGCCGTAGATGAAATGAAAAAACTCGCTCCACGATGAGCTCACGGACTCTGGGTTCTTTAGCCACAGCTGGTAAATGTAGTCCAAGTACTGGCTGTTGCTCATGTTGAGCAGATACTTGTACCTGTCGTTGTCGTCGTGATTGAGACGCGCGGGGCACCTTCGTGGCACGAATGTTGCGAGGAGAGATCGTTCGGAAGCTGGTGCTCCTGCATCACGATACGTGTATCGATGACAAAGATGCCGGACGAGACAACGCGCACGACGAGATGATCGCAAGCTCGTGTACATGTCTCCATTAGTTTCTACGCGCCAACGAAGTTGGAGCTCTGGGTCCACTTGAGTAATTTCAAAATTTCAGACCGAATACGTTGAACTTTCTTCGTAACAGGCGTCATGTTAATCGTGACACTTGACTGCTCAGATGATAGCGCTCGCGACGAGCTTCTGACGGTTTCCAACAGCGGGTGGGGCATCAAAATTTCGATTAAACAACTGAATCGACGCTTTCAGGCGCAACTTTCCACGTCTTCCGCGGTGAAATAGCGTTCGTTGGATTTAATGATATCATTGCACAGTAATGCTCGAGACGGGCGTCGATAGATGGACGTTGGAAGACGAGGTTCCTTAAACGGTCCTCTTCGAAGCAAAGAAAGCATCGCGTGATAATGAATCGCGTTACGCAACCCTTTGAAGATTTTATTAACCTCCCTTACATAGAAGTGAAAAAGAATATACGATCGCTCGGAGCTAGGCTGCTGCACTTCATTCGCAGAACGTTCCTGAAGTCGAAACAGCTAATTCGCGTGCCGATCCTACTGCGAACCGAGTACCTCTACACCCTTGCTGTGCTCTTTTGGGAAGCAAGTTGACAAAGCTTATTACAACTCGATAGATATTCTTTGAAACTTTTGAATGCCGTGCTGCGACCGATAAACAGTTCGTAGACATAAAATATTAATGTCCATTTGCATAACACAAGTAATACGTAGATAAAGTCACGTGGGTTAGAAAGAATCGATCAATCTTAGCACTTCAATTACCCGTCTAATTAAAAACAGATTACAACTTAAAAGAGGATTTTCTGCATATAGTTTAAAATCTCTATATATCAGTGTTTCCCAACGTGGGGTAATTTAAAAGTGGACTCGTCCAAAGTTTAAATTAACACTTTACCGACCGGTAGCCTATTAATCGTCTCTTTTCTATGGCAAACTAGGTAGGTAGATATTGGAATTAAATAGCCTATTAATAGACTGCTGGTAAATAAAGTGTATTCTAACTTCAATTGGTCCATGTATCTGCAGGGTAGCGCCGCTTCCGCCTACACAGACCATAGGACTATAAACATCAGTCCTAACAATGATCCATTGGACACGATTTTCCCGAGCAATCGTATCGTTTCGAAGAAAGTAAGTATTAAGGATATCAAGTTTATTCTGTCGACAGAAACGTTCGAATTATTTAAACGAAAACTGTTTCCGTTACAGTACACGATCTGGAACTTTGTGCCAAAGAATCTCTTCGAGCAGTTCAGGCGAATCGCGAACATGTACTTTCTCATATCGGCGATGATAGCTGCTGTGATAGTGTCCCCGATTTCACCTTGGACCAGCGCTTTACCCTTGTGCTTTGTCATATTTGTGACCGCTGTTAAACAAGGCTACGAGGACTATCTTCGACACGTGGTTGACAAACGATTGAATCGGGCGACCGTCACCGTAATTCGCAATCGATGCGTGCAGGTTCGTGCTCGTGCTTACAATTATTCGAATCGATAACGCGCGCAAGAGATATATTTTCTTATCTGAACCGAAACTGTAAATCACGACGTTAATTCCCCTTGCTATACTCTTTAGCCACAACTGGTAAATGTAGTCCAAGTACTAGCTGTTGCTCATGTTGAACAGATACTTGTACCTGTCGTTGTCGTCGTGATTGAGACGCGCGGGGCACCTTCGTGGCACGAATTGCCACGATCTGGAACTGATCCAGATCGTGTCATTCGTGCCATCGTAAGCCATCGGTAGCATTGATACTTCTGTCAAATGTTGTATTTATTTTCTACAAATTTTAGAGAAATCTTCTTTTCCCATGTCCAGAGCATCCAGCGTCAGCATATAGTAGTCGGCGACCTGGTGAAGGTGTCTCGAGAGAAGGACATACCTTGCGACCTCCTGTTGCTCTTCACTTCGGAGGACACTGGTCGCTGTTACGTCACCACGTCCAACCTTGATGGCGAAACTAATCTAAAGGTAATGTAAATAATAAGAAGAGTGCAAATTCTGTTGCGGATCGAGGATCATGGTTGAATCGTTGCTTGTTCAGACGTTGATGGTCCCGAAAGTGGTCTCCAACATGTCAGCATCGGAAGTAGTGTCCATGGAGGCCACTGTCACCTGTCAACATCCCTCGTCCGACCTCTACAGCTTTCATGGCAAGCTGGAAGTTAATAATACTAACGGCGAGCCAACCAGCGGACATCTGACGATCGAGAACTTGTTACTGCGTGGATCCAGATTGAAGGACACCGACCATGTCATCGGATGCGCTGTTTACACAGGCCTGGACACGAAATTGTCCCTCAACTCGAAGATTAGAAGCAACAAATTCGCCACTGCCGAGAAGTAAGCGTCGTTTAAGAGTGTGTAACAATCGGGAACTTGTTAGAATTAGATAGAATATGATAATTAATTACAGGACCATTAACAAATACATCGTCGTGTACATGATACTGCTGCTAATCGAAGTGATGGAGTCTTGCGCATTGAAAGTCATAATGAGCTCAACGGCGAAGTGGAACTCGTACATCGGTACCGATGACACTGTTACCATTTCCACGCTGGTCAACGATTTTTTCGGCTTCACGGTCCTGTACAATTATATCGTCCCCATATCGTTGTACGTTACCATAGGTAAGAGATATTTCTTCGCACATTAATTTCACGCATCATGCTCTCTTCGCTGTTTCCTCTGCCGTACCTATTCGAAATCTATTGCATGATATCGAAATGATCAAAGTTTCAACGAAATTCTTTGAGGCGGTGTTCTGTAGTTTGCCGAGCGATAAAACAATTTTCAAGAACATGTGATGAAACTGTAAGCGTTTACCTGCAAAACAAAGATAACTGTCGATGTTGGTGAAAACAATGTCGAGATTGCTCGTAACAGATAACATAAACATTCTTAATTTAAAACAAAATCTCAAGGTTTCGGCGAAGGCAATTAATAATGACGATTCTTCGCCCAAGGCAAACCAGAATCATGCTTTGTTGCAAATCCTTCATTAAATCGGTCCCCGTGACCGCGAATCGATCCCAAAGAATTCGACCGGGAAAGAAAGACACCTGTCAAGCTGCGATCAATTGTTCTCGTTGCAGAATTACAAAAATTCGTCAGTTCGTTTTTCTTCAGCTGGGACATCGACATGTACGACGAAAGCACCGATCAGCCGGCGTTGGCCAACACGTCGGACTTGAACGAAGAGCTTGGCCAGGTCGAGTACCTGTTCGCAGACAAGACTGGCACGCTCACCGAGAACATGATGGTGTTCAAACGTTGCTCGATCGATGGGAAAACGTACATGGAGAAGGACTGCGACGGAACTCTGTACCAGTTGCCTTCTAGCGGGAACGAGGACGAAGCAAAGAAGCTGACGACGTGGGAGGTGAGCTAAGTTCGGATCTAACCGAAATCTTAATTGGTCGATGTAAGGATCCGCACAAATAAGTGTAATAATCATAATTACAGCCAAACGTATGGCACTTCATGATAAGCATCTCTCTGTGTCACACGGTTCAAATCACACCTCCGAGTCAGAAGCCGGCAGTGGTCGCTAGGCGCACAGAGTTCCGCGAGAGCTTCAGGCAAAAAAAAAACCTGCACGTGAACAGTTCCCTGTTGATGGATCCGGATCTACCGGAGTACCAGGTGAAAATCTTGCGTGAACAGCGTCACGCGGATTCTGCTACTTACTTTTACCTCTGTTGAACAAACAACAGCTGACGATAGATTCTAAGTAGGAATATCAATATTTTGCTCGTGGCGAGTCTAATTCGAGCAACACTCGCGGAACTTTGTTAACAAATCTTTAAAAAAGATATGTTTGGTATTTACGTAGGCGACATCGGCAGATGAAAAGGCTTTGGTCGAAGCCAGCGCCAGGTGCGGGGTGATTTTCCAGAACGTCACCAGCGACACGATAGAGCTCAAAGTCAACGGCGCCCCGATGACCTTCGAGAAGCTTGAGATCTTGGAATTCACTTCCGGTTCGTATTTAAACGTACATAATCTCTTCGGATAAGAGATAATACTGTATCGGAACGATAAATCTCGCGGATATCTAAGAATCATTTCGACGATTAATTATTCGAGCAAAATAACGTAATATCAGAGACCATTGATCTTTGAAGGAATTCGTATTTCCCTCCGACAGAACGTAAGAGGATGTCGATAATAGTGAAGGACACCGCTGGCGATTACTGGTTGTACTGCAAAGGGGCGGATTCAGCTATGTTTCCGCTGATAGTATCAGGGATGATCAATGAAACCATCGGTCACGTAGCAGATTTCTCGAGAGTTCGTATGCCGACCTGTCATCCGTAACTTTCGCTAATTCAAGCTTGAATAAAAAGAACTCATCTTGCAGAGAGGCTTCCGAACTCTGGTCGTCGCGTACAAGAAGATGAATCAGTCGCAGTTCGATCAGCTGAGACAAAAAGTCGAAGACGCCAGACAGATAATCGGTATAGAGCGAGCAGCGTACATGAAGAAAGCTTACAGTCAAATGGAAAGCGGTCTGACTTTGCTAGGCGTGACGGCGGTCGAGGATCGCCTTCAGGAAGGCGTGCAAGAGACGCTCGAATGTTTGAGAGTTGCTGGTATCAAGGTTAGCGATTGTATTGGTTTCTGTTGGCAATCTCTTCTTTAATCCTTTGCGACAATTCCATTGATTTGGTGTGTTCAGATATGGGTACTAACAGGAGACAAGGCGGAAACCGCGGAGAACATAGCTTTCCACTGTGGACAATTCAAGGAGGGTACGGAGATCCTGAGGATGTTAGAAGTAAACGCGTCCGAATTTTGTCTCCAACGTCTTACGGAGTACGAGTAGGTACCATTCACTGCCCTTCTGTTCTAGATAGTTATTTTCCCCTGTGTACATTAATTAGTTTCTATATGATTCTAGACGAAGAATAAGGCTCGAGCCTTACAAACACTACGGTTTGCTGGTCGACGGTAGCAGCATATCTGTCGCCATGAAGACGTGTCCTGAAGATTTTGGAACAGTAGCACTCGCTTGTGAGGCGGTTGTTTGTTGCAGGCTGACGCCTCTGCAAAAAAGCGAGGTAGATTCTCCGTGTGCTCGCAGATGGTCTCCACGTGAGGTCCTTTTTGTTCATAACATTCTTCATCCGTTACTGTCCAGATTGTGAGTTTGGTGAAAAGGGCATCAACTCGACCACTGACTGCTGCCATCGGCGACGGTGGCAACGACGTCGCGATGATACAGGAAGCGCACGTTGGAATTGGTATAATGGGCAAGGAAGGCCGCCAGGCGACCATGAGCTCCGATTTCGCCATAGCGAAATTTAAATTTTTAAAGAAAGCGTTGCTGGTTCACGGGCATTGGTTCTACGTGCGAATCAGCACTTTGACGCTGTATTTCTTTTACAAGAACATTCTGTTTATAACGCCACAATTACTGTTTGGCTTGCACAACGGTTTCTCTGGACAAGTAAACACTCGATTCTTATACCATTACTTAACAATCGTCTTTTAGCGTTTCAGTAACGATTTAATCATTTCTAAACATTCATTCGACTGTGTATTTGCAGGCATTTTACGACGGTATGTTTCTAATGTTTTACAATGTATTATTTACGTCTCTACCGATACTGGCGTTCGGATTGCTGGAGCAGGATTACACCGCCGATAAGTTGCTGCGTTATCCTTATTTTTATAAAATGTACAAAAGGAATTATTTATTATCGGAAATGCAGTTCTTCATGTGGACAGTTCTGGGTAAACTACATAATTGATGTAAATTGAATCGATTCGATACGAACTCGTTACTGAATCCTATTTCGATTTCTCTTCAGGTTTCTGGCACACCTTTGTCATATATTTTATGACGTATTATTTTATACAGATCAATCCCGTTACTTTGTACAATAACACACCGATAGACCAGTGGACGTTCAGTACATCTGTTGTTCATTCAGTTACGTTAGTAGCCAATGTACAAGTAAGCGATTAATTAACAGTACAAATTATACAAGTACAGTACAATATAACGCAGATGCAACTCCGAGAAAATTCATCACAATCTATTATTATTTCCAGATCTTACTTTGCAGTTCCTATTGGACGTTACCGTTTGTGTTAGCAGTAGTATTATCAGAATTAGGGTTCATGCTATTCGCTATTGGATATTCATTCGTGCCCAAGTAAGCAACAACGATACTCTCAACTACAAAACTGTAGGATTTAGAACTATTGAAATGAGATTCTTGAGACTTCCAGGACCGAAGACCTAAGACTGTCGAATTCTATTGAAACTCCTCGGCTATTGTGATTCTCCTGAGGTTTCTCAATCCCTCTGTGTTCCTTTATTACTGAAAATCTTCTCAGACGAAGCTACTTATAACGATAACAAAATACCAAAAAGAACACTACTCTCGAGACCATCCCTCGTAATATTTTCTTTTAAATTTCAGAAAGTACGATGGAGACATGCTGGGTGTCTACCCGATGCTCTTATCGTCGATAACGTTCTGGTTGTTGAACGTAGTCATTATTATTCTTTGTCTGATTCCGGACTGCTTAATTCACACGTACAACAGTTATAGGCCTGCTCGTATAGTAAGGCGAAACGAGGAACAGCCGCAGTATACAAACGGCAATGTTAACAACACCAGAGCGAGCCTGTCATTGGAAACCACGGTAGATACTGCAATACAGACACGGTATAAACCAACCCATCGAAGATAACGATCCAGTGTATTGTTGGTTCACAGAGTCCGCAGACGTTTCGTACAGTGCCAGGTTCGATCAGCTTCAACCTGGAGAAGGCTATATAAAGTAGATAGAACGACGTTGGATCGACTTCGTTTCATCGTTATCAAATTAGTAAATTATACATCACCGCGGTTGGAACCGTAAGTCACCCGATTCATGCGCCGACTAGCCCTTGTAGATATTATTATTTTGACGCAACGCGTGAATTAAAATGAAATATTTTAAACACGACTTTATTGACCCAGATGAGGCTGAATCTGTTTCTAGTATTTCTTTCTAAACGTTTTACCATAAATAGTTCAGCCACGTGACGCCAATAGAATACTTAGAATGCCACTTCCTTCTAGAAGGTCGTCTGCTTGATGTATCTAATATAAAAATAAAAGAAAACTATATTTAACAATTATACTCGGGACAAATTCTAAAATTTTTAGTCCTTCTGGAAGGACGTCTCGATTTTTTTTTCTTATGTTTAATACTGTTCAAAACAAGTAGTGAACTGCGCAGCATAGTGAAAAGAAGTACAGTGCATTTAACGCAAGGAATATTTTCACATAGCGCGATCCTTTAGATGTTTAGAACATCACGATCATCTAGAATCTAGATCAGGGAATCTAGATCGTAGGGGTTGGCGAACTTTTTCGGGGAAAGTCTAAATAATAACAAGTTTTTTAGTCTACCACGACGTGGAATTCTCTTAACAGCAACTGAAACGAAAAAGAACAGACTCTGCTTTCCAGAGAACTTGTTTTTTTTCCTCTAAGATAACGCGCAACCAATTTGCCATGCGTGACAAATCAAACGCTGGGAAAAATTGATTGACGTACGCAAAAGGAATAGTTAAATAGTTAATCACTTTCCATACGATTGACTATTAATGATTGTAAATGAAATATTTCGTTTCACCTTTTTCAAAATTATTCTTACCATTGTTCGCCGATCCCTGCTCTAGATAATCAGTTCTACTTCGTTCTAAAGAAGAACCGATGTATTTTAATATTCTTTTAAGTGACGAAATCATCAACCCATCATAAGTTAACATAGAACGTAGTTGTAGAATAATTAAGAAACAATGTAAGAGTACGTATGTGTCTTCGTACTTTGCGACTGAATTATATGCATTTCGTACTATTTAAATTTAAAGAATAGAATTTTATAATACAAATTTGACCAAACGCAAACAGAATATATACGTATATATGCTAACAAGAAGCGATTTCATTACTAGACAAGTCGTCCTTTGGCTGTGTAACATGCATGAATTGAATGAAACTATTAGCTTCGGCAAATAAAAGATGTTTGTGAACTTTTAAAACAATTTCCTTCCTGGTTTAAATTCAGCTTTAACGATTATTTATTTTATTCGATTAAAAAATGTTGTGAAGGAACGTAAATGTTTAACAGGAATTAAAATGTAAAATATAAATTGTTTCATCTACTTATTTACTTATCGTTGTAACAGTATTACAATATCGTGTACACTATAAATGTGTTTGGTGATAACATTATGATACGAGCAGCATTATTCAATCAATTGGCTTCTGGTGGATTTAATCTTTGGCCCCACCGCCATTAACAGAAACTTCACTTGATATCATTATTTAATACCTCCTTTTACTTTTTCAAAGCGAAATAAATATTCCCGTTTAACTAAAAATTTCATTCTGCCTTGAAAAATAAATTTCTCATTTATTTGAAATTCGTCAAATAAAATTTTATTACTTAAGTTTCTGTAAATATAGTACTTCATTTTATAATTTATTCATGGAACAGATAAGATAACAATAAAAAATAAACATACCCAAGGGATATGTAGATGAATGCAACTGTTGCAAAACATTCAGAATACTCGGTGTTCTCTATCTCTACATGTTTCGCTCATTACGAGATAAAGCCGGTAAGCTCATTAAACAGATTTTTCAGGGAAACGTTTTTCTTAAATATCGCGCCTCGTTGCGGCCATATCTGTGATTGAGACTATGGAATCACTATAATGTTCATTTACATGCATCGAATTTGCTAATATTTGGCAAAATCGAGCGAAAGAAAAATATATGTACATATACATATAACATCAATCAGCTGATAGGTGGAAATAGCTGCAGTCGAATCGGTCGCGTGCGATGCATCGCCTGATGCATTTGCAGGCCGGAGGTTTGTGTATGCGCGTGCATCAGCAGAATATTTTGAAAGAAAAACTGCTACAATCGTTGTTAAATGCTCGCTAGACTGCTACTTTTTTCGTCGTTTTATCAAAGGTCGTTCAATACCGTGTGACGTTTCTTATGGCCTTTTAAACGCCGACTAAAAAAAAACACAGCTCGAGTAATTGATTGAAGTGGTGTTGCCTGTCCAGCTTATGGATTTCTCATACGCTGAATGAGTGAACGACAAACGTTGAAATAAATATCTGTAAAGTGAATTGATAAATATTAAAAAACAATCGAACGATTGTTGTGATGTGCTTAGGGGTAATAATGTGAAGGATTAAAATGTACGTATTGTATTACAGGTGTAATACATTTCATAAAAATGAGGCTTCTGTCATGTTATTTCCGACGTTTTATAATAGCGGCATTGTTCGTCACACTGCTGTTTTGCATTGTCCAAGTCTTTCGAACGGAACTGGGCTTCACTGACAATGATCTATCAAATTTGGATAAATTGTGAGAGAGCTTTTAATTCTCTTATAGTCTGAGACACTGTCACTTTGTTACAATGATTCTTGTCATTTCAGAATACATATATCTCAGTTAATTAAAGAATCGGAACAAACTTATGTTGGGTACATACTTTTCTTTATTAATATTTAAAATCTACAATTTCATGTATATGTGAAACATAAAAGATTACAAAGATTTGTTTGTTTCTAGAGAAGGAATTGTTGCTTGCAAGTTACCGCAGTTAAATGTTTCTAATCCAGAGATTACAAAATTCTTACATGATGTTCCTCCCTTGTCGTGCACTCCCGAAGATTGGGTCATACTTCGTGGCTCAAGACTTGTTATTAGTAATAAAGCAAAGAAAAAATATGGCTCGATAACTTGTTCTTTCAGTGGTAAGTTGAGTAACACCTCTAATAATATATCATTCCATTCAATTTGACTTTATTTTACAGAAATTCTTCGAGATGATGACAACAATGTATCATTTATGACCCCAGTTGAATCCAATGATTCCTATATCCTTAGACATAGTGATTTTGTTGATGTTAAATGTGAATCAAAAAATGGTAAAGAGTAAGTAGAATGCTTATAGAACATTTAATTCATAAATTGGATAAAATTCATGACAATAATATTAATAATAATCTCTTAGATGGCACAGTATTATGGCTGGAGTGAAGGATGATCCTCAGGTGAAAGAGAAAAATAAATGGGAAAATGTTCCAAAAAATGCTCTTAAACTGAATGTACTTATGTTTGGTTTTGATTCACTGTCTCGAAATACATTCATACGTAAATTGCCAAAGACATATCAGTACATAAAAGACACCTTAGGTGCTTTAGTTTTAGAAGGGTATAATATAGTAGGTGATGGAACACCGCAAGCACTCATTCCTATTCTAACTGGAAAGATTGAACTTGAATTGCCAGATACTAGAAAACGCATGGGACAAAAAGCAAAGTATGTTAATGTATATCCACTAATATGGAACGAGTATAAAAAGAATGGTTATATAACTGGATTCATGGAAGATGTATATCATATTGGAACCTTCACATATCGTCTAAAGGGCTTTAAAGAACAACCAACCGACCATTATATGAGAACATTCTATTTAGCTGCAACACCTTACTTTAGATACTACAATAAATATTGTGTTGGAAGCATACCACGACATATGGTATGACATGTACAACTTATAATTATTTAATAGTATGTATATGAGTAAGATACAAGTACTTACTTATACTTGTAGGTGATGTTGAACTATATTAAGGAAATTTTCAATGTCTACAAACATCAACCCAAATTCTTATTTGGATTTCATGGTGAACTTTCACACGATTCTTACAATGATATAGGAGTGGTTGATGAAGATTTGCATAGTTGGGTAAAAGATTTGCATGAATTTGGTCACTTAAATGACACAATATTAATATTGATGAGCGATCACGGACACAGGTTTGTATTGAAGCTATACGTAAAATTTTATTGTTTGCAAAATTAAATGTATGCCATAAACTAATGAGGCAAATTTCATTTTGAAGATTTGCAGAAATTCGTAATACTCTACAGGGTAAACAAGAGGAAAGATTACCATTTTTTTCCTTTGTCTTTCCTCCTTGGTTTAAAAAAGCTCATCCGCAAGCATATGCAAACTTTTTACACAATACACGTTATTTATCAACACCATTTGATGTGCACAAAACATTAGAAAACATACTAAATTTTGAGACTCCAAAAAATGGAGATCGACACCAAAGAGCTATTAGTTTATTTGATAAGGTAAGTGTATCCTTATATACATTGAATTTTAATTCTTTGTAATTGTATGGCATTTTATGCTATTTTTATCAATAAATCGCGATTTAAAGATCATTCGTAAGTTAATGTATTGACACTGATTGACACTGAGCTGATTGACACACCACCTGTTGATTGGCTATTTGGCAAGGATTAATAGAAAGTGAAGATCGAGTAATCAATTAATCATGTAACAAACAACATAGGTACACCACAAGTTTAGTGCTTATCGCGAAATGATTCTTCGTCTTCAATCATCTTGAAATCTGAATTTTTCTGAAATTGCGATAACTATTATACATTACTTATATAACGATAATCTCTGTCACTTAAGTTGAATAATTTCTAGTAGAATTAAAAAAAATGCAGTTTTTGTATCTTTTTTTTTAGTAATATGACACTACAATATAACACTTAACTGCCTTTTGGTCGACGAACGTCACTACTACAAGTTGCTAAAAGTTAACTACTTGCTTGAACAAATATTGCATGTTCTAGATAACGATAAAGCTAATAATCTCATTACGTGGCCTCAACTTCGTAGTTCATAAATACGTGGGTGCAATCCCACTTACCTCTTCATACATATATTGAACGTTGTATGTATTTATACATTTAGATTTTCCTTCAATTCATTTTACATAAAGAAGGATTAGCAGGGTTAAGCTTGCATCCTAAAAATATATCGTATTAGATTGGTATTATGCACTTAATCACATGACATTTTATAAGGTTGGGCAACTAATCATATTGCAAAATAATACAGGTACCATTAGAGAGAACATGTGCAGATGCATTTATAGAACCACATTGGTGTGCTTGCCTTAGTTGGCAAGATATTCCAATTAACAATGATAATGTAATTGCTGCAGCTAAATATTTTGTTCAATTTCTTAATGCTTATACTGAAGAACATCGTGACATATGTGAGCAATTACAATTAAAAGAAATATTATGGGCTTCTAAACTTATACCTAATAAAGGTATCATGAACAATTTTGGTTTCTTTATTTTGCATATACCTCGAGGCTTTTTAATACTAATAAAAGTTCATTGAATCATAGGTTTGTTGGAATTCCAAAAATCTGGAGATCAAGATGGATTCATTGGAGACTTTAGTGCAAAAACACAAATGACCAGTGAAACTTATCAATTAAAAGTAAAAACAGAACCAGGTGATGGACTATTTGAAGTAAGCATTACTTATGACATAAAGAAGAGCACATACTCAACCAAAGTAAGTTTATTATCAAAAATGTTTGATTAATGTGGTACACTGTCAATATAAATATTTATAAGATTACATGTGATAATTATAACAACCTGTTGGATTTTAGATTTCAGATGTCAGTAGAATTAACATGTATGGATCTCAAGCAAGATGCGTGGAAAATTCTTTGTACCATTTAAGAAAATATTGTTATTGTAAGGATGAAATAGGAAATATTTAATTTGTCTTAAAGATTACTCCAGTTAATACATAAATTACCTGCCAAAAATTTGATAAAGCAGGTGCTGTGATTATCACTGTTTTAGTCTTTATAAGAATTTAAGCAACAGTCTAGTAGTTTTTATTTAGATTTATATAGACCAAACAATCAAATTTCTGTTAATAATGGAAATATAATTTTTTTCTGTGTTAATTCATTCAAATATCAGAATGAAAGAGGCAATGTATTATATAATAAATTTTATATTTAAACATCTGTACAGTATAATGTACAGAAGAATAAGTGGTATTTGTAAGCAATGATAGTCTCACTTATAATATGATGAAAGTTATCTATAAATTACAAACAAAGTACATCAATTATCATAATATTCTAATTATGATATAAAGTGATATTGCGTTCGATGTTCGATCTGTGAAGTGTAAAATGGTATACAGGTAGAATGACATATAACGTATCTCTTATTTTATTCTTTTATTTATATTCATTATTTATGTCAGTGCCAATTACCATACTATGTCAAAGTATTTTTACGAATTAAATAAGCAAGATATATATTTTTTTTATGTATTATTTTGTAGTTTCTACAAACTTTGTACAGAAATATAGCAATTATATTTTCGTTACTTAATTATTAAATCTTACGTACCGCACATACGATTATACACATGTTTCAATTTTGAGATAAACGAATTTCGCAGGTCTTAATAGTGTGTTAAATATGTTTTCTTCTAATTACATTTGAAGTTGTTAATTATGAGTGTAATATTTTCAATAGTATATAATGTAAATAATGCACAATATAGTATAATTAATTCATAATTGAGCTATTGCAGTGTTTATATAAATCCATTTTACTGAAAGATTATACTTTTAGTGGATATTTTTAAAAATTTCCTTACACTTACTGAGAAAGACAGTACTCCCCAAATTGGTGAAGAAATGTTGTAATTTCTCGAGTAGTTTCATCCACTAATAGGAACCCAACATTTTGTATATGAGATGGATCATGCGGAAAATATTCTTGGCCTCTACTGTCTTTTGCTATTACTTGCAGAACTAATGTACTAATTAATAAATTTGAATCTTTTTGTCTTTGTACTCTAAAATAATTAGGCATTAAGTATATGATTTTTTTATCAAATATAAATTATTAGTTACAAAAGTATTGTACAACCTTATTAAATCTTTATAAATAGCTTTGGTAATATTTAAGTATGGATCTAAACTATCTTCATATTGACATATTGCTCCTCCAAGAACAAGCATTTGAAAAATATAAAATATGAATTCATCCCGTTCATCTTTTAGATACAAATTATATTCTGGGCATTCATTGTCTAATAACATCTACAGACATAAAAGTATGAATAAATCTGTAATGTTATGAGATTAAATATACTGAATAAAAATCCATACTCCTCTAAGATTATCAGAAACTAGAAAACCATTAACTTCCATATCGTATCTTTTACAAATAGCCCCAGACTTGTGTACAATTCCATTTTTAGGATCCTTTATTTTATCAAAAAAATTCATACTTAAAATGGAACAGGGTACAGGTTTTACTTCTATGCATGTCGCCATTATACCTATCAATTATAAAAGAAATTAATAATAAGTAATGTTATATTATAAAAAACATATTCACCACCTTGCTTTGCCCAACATTTTCCTTGTTTAGTTAACAATTCTTTTGCAACAGAGCTGTCTTTAAAGAATGCCTAAGAATAATTAAAATATAGACATTATATGATTAAATAGTTATATAAAATATTGAGTTTTAATTATATTTGTCATTAAACGTGTAATAATTCACTAACTTCTGCTAAGTGATACTTGTAATACTGCTGAAAAGGTTCATTGAATGAAAAATGTTGAATAACAAAATTTCCATTTATTCCCCTGTAAAATCGGAAAATAGTTTGCTATTACAGTCATTAATATTTAAACTGTATATAAGTGTAAATACATGTATGTATAATCCAAAAAAAGCGACTTTTGCTATAATAAACTAAATAAAAAGTGTGAAACGCTTTGTATAGTATAAAATATTAAATTAAATTATAAATTCAAGAGAGTTATGTTATTATTACCATTTAGATAGTAATTCTTGTGTTGTTTTTTTATAAATTCCAACATAATTCTTCTGTGCAAGAGGCACAAATGTATATTTGGGTTCGATCTCCATTGTTAAATAATTAATTATTACTATGGAAACGGAAAATAGTAAATATATGTTGTATATGTACGTATATATGTAAAGAAATTACAACTATGTATTTATAAATATAGTATTTGTTTTTATTGTCAATAAAATAACTATACAATCTTTTATATATTATATATGTGGTAAATTGTATTGATTCCTGCATTGATAAAGGCATGAACTTCAAACAGCTTCAAAAGCTTCTTGGAAGATCATGGCGCCGAACCAACGTCAACGTCAACTTTTTATTTCAAAGAAAGAATTGAAAAAACTCAATGGCAAAAGATTCTCAAAGTAGAGATAATTACATTCTAAGTTTCTTTATTAATAAGAAGCAATTACAATGTTTTTTTATTGCAATATTTCTAACAAACTGAAACATATTGTTTGCCGGTTAACCTATTCTGTCAACTTATCGTATTTATTTATTAACGTTTTTAAAATATTTCAAACATTTTATTGCATACACATGTACACTTGATAACTTTCACTTGATTCGTACATTTAATATTTTTCTGACAGATTCTCATACATAGGATAACTGTACATAAAAGTAAAAATTCAAGATAAATATGAGATAAATCAAAAAGAAAGTTAAAGATATATGTTTCAGACCAGAAGAATCGTCCGATGTTGGTCTCATTTATCCTAGCGTGGATACAGCATTTAAATTGCTTTTATCAGCTAGATTTTGCTCAGCTACATGGAGTCATATAACAGATTGCGATGAAACATATAATTATTGGGAACCAGTAAGAACTACCTTTAATTCCAATGTCTTAACATTAGAACTAATTGAATAATTTAGAAATTACATATTTATATCAAAAGTCATAAATGGTATTTTATTTGATCTGGTATCTTCTTTTTTTAGAGTCACTATTTACTTTATGGAAACGGCCAACAAACATGGGAATATAGTCCAGAGTATGCTTTAAGGTCCTATATGTATTTGTTAATTCATATGGTACCAGCAAAACTCTACCATTATTTGTTAGAACCAAATCCTGTTTTAGTCTTCTATTTTGTAAGATGCCTTCTATCTCTGGGATGTGCATTATCCGAAGCATACTTTTATAAGTATGTATTAATACTATGATTAGTAGAAAAAATTGACAGTAGCATTATCTGAATTTTATTATTTCAGAAATGTATGTAGAGAATTTGGAATTCATATAGGCAGATTGACATTAGTATTCCTAATTTTCAGTTCTGGCATGTACATTGCTAGTGCTGCATTTTTACCATCTTCTTTCTCAATGTATGTATATATAAAACCAATACTGCTAAAAGAAATAGTGATGCAATGATTATTTAAATTCATTTTATGTATATTCATTATATAGGTATTTAAGTACTATTGCTACAGGTGCTTGGTATGGACGTCAATATGAATTAGCTATTTTTGCCACTGCCATATCGGCTCTTTTAGGATGGCCATTTGCTGCACTGCTTGGGTAATATTAATACATGTATAGATCAAAGAATATATATATATTACAATATAAGTACTACAAATTTTTCCTTGTACCCTACAGGTTACCAATTGCAATGGAAATGTTAATACAGAAGCATGAGTGGAGTAAATTTATAAAATGGGTAATTATATCTGGTGTTGTTATTTTGATACCAATGGTATGGATTGATTCAATGTACTATGGAAAATTGGTAATAGCACCATTAAACATTGTAATGTACAATGTTTTTACTAATCATGGACCAAATATTTATGGAACCGAACCTCTCAGTTATTATATTTACAATGGATTTTTGAACTTCAATTTCATTTTTATTGGTGCACTTTGGGCTCCATTCGGATTGGTAATATACATGGGATCTATAATGTTCAGAACTTCGCTATTTTTAATATTATAATGAGTCTTATAGTTTTTAGTGTGGCTAATTGTTCCATCGCGACCGAGAGATCGATTGTGTTTGTCTTATTGGTACTCTCTGGCGCCATTGTACCTCTGGTTTTTGGTCTTTTTCTTTCAACCTCATAAGGTGAATTGAATAGAAGTGCTTATATATTAAAATTGATGTGAAATATATATATACTTAACAAAATTTTGTTTGTAGGAAGAACGATTTCTATTTCCCGTCTATCCAATGATTTGTTTGGCTGGAGCAATAGCTGTGGATGTCATTCAAAAATTGTACTTCTTTATTAGAACAAAACTTAGTCCTCTGCATATCGCTTATCATTATTTACAGTATACTATTCATATTACGATCATGACGATCTTAATATGTGGTCTTCTTGGTATATCAAGATCATTGGCGATATATAAAGGTACGAAGACCATCATTCAATATATATATATCCTTTTCAAAGATTAATAAATTTCGATTAATTTAATTAATTTGAAATTAAATATTGTATTGTAACTTTAGGTTATTATGCCCCAATGGAAATAATGATAGAAACTAATAAACTTGAATTAGAAGGTGAAATATCCAAGGATATGAATATCAATTTTTGTATCGGTAAGGAATGGCACCGATTTCCAAGTAGCTTCTTCTTCCCAGCAAATAAGTAAGTAGCAAGATAAATAAGTCTTAAAGGGACCATTAATAATAAAATGGTATTATTTTCAGTTGGAAACTTCAGTACTTGAGGTCAGATTTTAAGGGGCAATTACCACAAGCTTTTTTAGATCACGAAAACGCAACTAGTATAATTCAACCCCATTTTAATGATATGAACAGAGAAGAACCAACACGTTATGTAAGTTATTACTTACAATATATTTGTAAAACGTTAAAATACTCAATATAATTAATAGTAATTACTTGTTTTAAGCAGATTAGTTTAGACAAATGTCATTTTGTATTAGACTTGGACATAGGAACTGAAACAGCTTTAGAACCAAATTATTCTCGATTAACTGATAATTTTACGATAATAAAATCATCTAAATTTTTAGATTCTACTAGGTGAGTATATTAAAATATAAAGTCCACTAATGTGTAATATTATTTCAGAAAAAATATTTTAATTACTTATCATTTATTTTTTAGATCACATCAGTACTTTAGAGCATTTTTCATACCTTTTGCATCGCGGCAATTTTGTACATATGGCTCCTACAATTTATTACAAAATAGTAAATTTAAATCTATTTCCGTTTTATCAAAAGAAAAGAACACAAAGTCTTCTTAAATGGAGATTCTGGTATGTCTATAATTTTAATAAACAGGGTCTCTATCAGGGAAATTATACCAAAAACTGGAGCAATTTGAAATGTCTAAATATTTGATATATTAAGTTAAAATGTGTTGTAATTGAAAATGCATTCCAAATTAAGCATAATGCATAAGTACTACTTTTGTGGCGAAAAGTTTTTGTATCAAATTTTTGAATAGACCAGGATTCATTCCAACAAATAATTATTAGTGTATGGAACATATATACATTTATATAATATGATGCATATAAAATATATTCCAAAGTAGAAATGATTTTATGTCATACATACGGCAATTAGTTTGCATCATTGGAATATTGGTGGATATGAGAAGTGCTCATAAATTATAATAAATTTAATATATAAATGTTATTTGTCTAAATGTTATGTACGTACATACTAAACGTTACATGTTGGAAGTATGTGTAATGGCTTAATTACTTTCTAACATTGGTGGAGCTTTTATCATCGTGTATAAAAACGAATACCAATAAGTGACCAAATATCCTTATACTTGTCCTTTAGAATAATCATTTTTTAGGGCATAAATGATACTAGTCCACGTAATGATAAGAACAGAATAACTAAAATGTAATTTTCTCACTAGGTACATAATATTTGTTATTTGTTTTATTATTAAATTCACATATGCTTTTGCATATAATTAAGTACATATTTTATAATCAACAAATTTTTGTATATATATTAGTGAAAGTATGAGTAAGATATTTAAAAGAATGTAAATATAATTGATTTTAATTGTAAATACAGTATAAATTATTGTATGATCTTTTAGAAATGTCCAGATAGAAGTTACTATAATTGTCTTCAATTGTATCGAGACCTTGTGATTTTCAGAAGTATAGTTCATATTTATTTATGATAGCGTGAATAACTGTTGTCAAAGAGTATGTGTTCTATTAAATGTGTGCATCTAATTGCTACAGCATATAGTAATAAGTAAATATAACAATTTATAGTATTTTATACTGCTTTCATAATTATTAAATAATGAATGACGGATAAAAAGACTCAACAGTCATTTCAACAATTGTTTAATTATTTACTATGAAATTTAATTTTATAATTCAAATTTCAATTTTTATTAAATGAGTAACGAATACACACTTGTTTATCTTTTATGCGTTATTCAAAATTTTCATCTAGATACTTTTGCATACATATACAGCATAACATAAACATTGGTTTGTAAAATTGATATATGCATTTATATGTATAACATTTATTATAACATAATGTTATATTCTTTTCAATAAATAAATATGATGAAAAAAGTATCAAACTGTATTTCATTCGGATTGGTAGCATTCAGTTCCCTGTTTTTCTTTTTTGCTTTATTTTGTTAAATCAGCATTCTGAACCGTAATCGTCAAATTAATGTTTTGTGAACGAGTGCATTATACAGAACGAAACATAACACTCATTGAACTGTTAGCAATAGATACAACCTTTGTTTTTTCGTGATAAAATCGTGATAATTCTTAGAAGTGACTAACCTTGAAAGCTTAAGGATATTAAAAACAATACAGATTTTGTTTCGAGACATGTTCATAAAATGATATTAACGAATTCATCGAAGGATGATAATTTGTTTAAAGAATTCTTTTGACACATCCTTAAACTTCCGAAAAAATCGTTCGAGATAATCGTTATCAAGTACTCGAGCAGATAGGCAATTTTTATTCAAATAATAGATAAACAAAAACACTGTTTTCAGTGTTTCAATCACACCATTTAATCGTAACATGTATTTGCTCAACCAGATATATAATTTCGTTTTTTATTCGTTTTTGAAATGTTGATCTAGATACATATTCAGCCCATCTCTGTAAAACGATCTCGATCGTTTTAGTTCGCAGCAATCAAATTTTTAGCGCCGTTGTTACGAAACGGCGCTTTCATTTACTTGATTAAATAGCCATTTTTAAATCAACACGCCCAAAGTTTTAGGTAAACAGTGCTTAAATTACACGCGTCCATGTGCGTCTTAGAGACGAAGGAATTTGTGTTGATGTATGTACGCGGTGTCAACGGCAAAATGTTTGATTAATGATAAAATTCTCGTTTATCGTAATGTAGTCCTTATACCATCTGACGTGAAATCTCCAAAACACAATCCGTGGCACAGTATCTACATAGATACAGTCCATGTAAGATGGAAACGGCTGAATACGACAAGGGACAGACTCACACTCATTCCATAAAATTACCGGCCGCGGTTGAGGTGTTCGCAAATTTGAAAAATGCCCAGAAATTTGCAATTGATATTGGTACGTATTTCTTTTCATATCAGCACGCCAGAACCATGGATCTTTCTGATCTAATGTTCAAAGTCAGGACAATCTAATTCCTCCTACGAGGTCAGTTCCAAGCTTGCAAAAATAAGGAAAGCATACTACTTATTACTTACTACAAACACCGACAGTCCATTGTACAAAAATCTGCATACGGTAAAACATCGATTTAACGCATTTCGGTTTTGATAAACAAAATTCTACAGTTCTATCTTGGTACATTCGTAAGCTATTTGCAATTCTGTTTTTCTCCTTGCTATTTTAAAATTCGATACTTCTTTTCAAACTTTTTTCATCAACCTATATTAGAGAATTGAAGAGAATACCTTTAAATAGAATTTTGACCTAGTGATCAGAATTTTTGGAAAAGGTTATTTCAATATTTTTTTTGAATTTTTTAGTTCATAAACTAAGTATTGTGAAGTTATAATTTATGAATGACAAGACAAATTTTTATGCATACAATCAACAAAACTTCTGTTTGTGAAGATTCTTTATTATCTGTTTAATTGCAGGTTTATCATTGACAAAAATAGCTTATTATTCCACAGTCAGTTATCGTAAAGCATTATATGAAGATGAAGGCTTAGGAAATAGTGGAGAACGAGCATACAAAGTATATGAAGGGAATAGACTGCATTTTGTTAAGTTTGAAACGAGATACATAGAAAATTGTTTAGATTTTGTGAAAGAGAATTTAGTGAATGTTGAAAGGTTTCATGGTAAAAGTATTAAAGTAACTGGTGGAGGAGCACACAAATATACTCCTTTATTACAAGAAAAATTGGGCCTGACGTAAGTAGTTTACAGTGTAGGGTTAATGTAAAAACTTTAACATGGATAAATATAATGACAATGTTATTTTAGAATTGACAAAGAAGATGAAATAGCATGTCTAATAAAAGGTTGCAATTTTTTACTTAAAAACATACCATGTGAAGCATTTGAATTCGAGAGACATGGAAATCCTGAATACAAATTTCAAAAGGCTTGCCCTAATATATTTCCATATATGTTAGTAAATATTGGTAGTGGTGTCAGTATTCTGAAAGTAGAGTCTGACAATGTGTTTGAGAGAGTTGGTGGCACAGCTACAGGAGGTGGAACATTTTGGGGATTGGGTTCCCTTCTCACAAAAAGGAAGGTATTAATGTTATCTCTTTAGTATTAAAAAAAAATCATAAATTATTAATGTCTCATTGTGGTCATAATTAAATATTTATCAAAATCATTTTATCAACATAAAGCTCAATGTATCTACATTGATGTTTATATGCACAATGTATGTAGTGTTGGTTACTTTTCATTTATTAAATTTCGCATCTGCATAATATCACTGAGACAAATATACACATTTAAAAAATATCTTTGAAAATACCCTGCTAGGACTTTGATGAATTGCTGCAACTTGCAGAACGTGGAGATCATCGTAATGTTGATATGTTAGTAAAAGATATTTATGGAGGTGATTATTCTTCCCAAGGATTACCTGGAGAGCTTATTGCATCTTCTTTCGGCAAAGCTATGTCTTATATTGATAATAAAGGTAAAAGAGTTATTAATTTATTGTGTGATTAGATATAAAAAACTTTAATCTTACAAAAAGTAACATAGTTTAATGTGCTTCAGGACAGCCTACATTTTCTGAAGCAGATCTTGCAAGAAGTCTTCTGCTTACAATAAGTAATGATATTGGACAAATAGCTAGCCTATATGCAACTGTGCATAAAATGAGTAAAGTTTACTTTGGTGGTTATTTCCTTCGTAATCACCCTCTCTCAATGCACACCATTTCATATTCCATCAATTATTGGTCTCACGTTAGTTTTAGAACTTCTTTTGCGATAAAATTTTTAGTACGAATTATTAAATACTTATTTTTTTAATACATTTTCTTACATTCAGGGTAATGTGAAGCCTCTTTTCCTTCGCCATGAGGGCTATCTTGGTGCGATCGGTGCGTTTTTATATGGTGCTGAACAGTCAGATAAACATAGTTGGTTGGAGAATTATGCAGGTTCCTCAGGATTTAAAGATTCAATACCCACCGATCTTGGAATTAAAGTTGATCAACTGGAAATTGATCAAGCTGAAAATGCTGTGACATTTTGTCCACTTTTAAAAGATCCTGCAACTTACAATCCTGACACAACAGATCTTGCCGAAGATAAAGAAGCTAGGTAAAGGATAACAGTTTCTGTTTCAAAATTTAGTTTGGTGCCTTATTTTTCCTCTAGCTTCAAAGTAATTTTCAGTTTTTTACTGTATATCCGCAACAATATTGCTCTTTCTATTATGACATAAATTAATATGTTTAGAGATTATTGGCTTCAGTGTTTTGAGGAATCAGTGGACAAATTTGTTGCAAGAGCTATTCACAGTCAGCCGCATAGTCCAACTGCTAAAGATAGAGCAACAAAACTTAAGGAGAAGTACATAAATAGACTGCATTATCTGCACCTGCAGCCATTGTAAGTATTTTAGCCCTGATGAAAGTATAACATTCTACAAACATCTATTATAATGTTATATTATGCAATGTAATGTTAAGTTCTGTTGTACTATAGTGCTTATGGGACACTTACTGTGAGGGTATTATTGGATACTATTGAGCATTGCATGAAGGAATTCGATTTTCCTGATCCTTATTTACATGTAAGTTATTCTGAAAATTGAAACTTAACTCCAGTTAAATTGTAAATACTTTTTTACGTAATTTTATAGTAATCTTTTTTTACGTTTCTATACGCAGCAAAAGAAAAGTGAGAATGAAGAAGCTTTAAAACATTTGAAAGATCGTATAGCTGTTATCGACAAATTAGAAGGACGAGAAAAAATAAATGCGTTGATACTAGGAGTCATTAGCGGTAATATGTTTGACTGGGGTGCCCAAGCCGTAGCTACCTTAATGGAAACAACAGACTTTGGTTTCGCTGAAGCTGCATCAAAAATACCGGGTACTGCCGTTATTTTAGTATACTTAACGACGTTAATTGTGAAAACAAAATATTTGTTGTAATATTGATGGTGTTTTTTTAAAACTTAGGTAGACCTTGGTTGCAAGATGACTTAGATGATTGGATATACAGATTAGAAACTGGACCACCTCATAAGTGTGCAGCTATTTTTGTTGATAACAGTGGAGTCGATATAGTACTGGGAATTTTACCCTTCGCACGAGATTTATTACTGCGAGGAACAAAAGTTAGCGATGACATTGATAATTATAACATTATTAAATTACAAAAAGTTAATGCAAAGAGCAAGTTAATTGATTTAATTAATAATTGCTTTAGGTTATACTATGCGCTAATTCTATGCCAGCTTTGAATGATGTAACATATCCAGAACTAGTCGTGACATTACGCGATGCAGCAAAACTATGCAGAGTTATTAGACATGCTCTGAAAGAAAATCGATTGATTGCTATGGAAACGGCGCAAGCCGGTCCCTGCCTTGACTTAAGGTAGTAGTCATGAAGCAGAAATAGAATAATCATTGTAATCATTATCTGTATCAATGGATTCGTATCATTTACAATTTTACAGCCGATTGAGTCTGGACTTATGTCTTGCGATGGTAAAATATAATGTTGATCTTATCGTGCTCGAGGGAATGGGAAGAACTCTTCACACCAATCTTTATGCAAAGTTGACTTGCGAGTGTTTAAAGCTGGCAGTTATTAAGAATCGATGGTTAGCGCTTCGATTAGGTGGTGATATGTATTCTGTAATATGTAAATACGAGCGACCACCGTTGAAAACGAAAATTTACGATATTGAAATAACAACGGAAGAATGTCCATCAGAATGCATCGAGACAGCAAATGAAGTTTGCACATGCGAAGACAAAGATTAAATAATAAAGACGTAAGTAACTGTATTTGATTTTATTTCGTTCTCTGATGAGTTAATGAAGTTTATTTAAGATATTTTTACATTTGCAGTGCAAATCAGTATGTTGAGGTTTTAATAACATGGAATTAATCAAGTTTCGTGACTTAGCCTATACTTGCTACTCAAGTATGACAATTTTAGCGGTTACGTAAAGCGTTAACAATTAATGACTACCACCTAGTCAAAGACAATAAATATTATTTTCCTGTAAATTAAAGAAAAAAGTGATTACGACCAATTGTAACAGGTACAGAGACATGTATCCTATAACGCTGTACAGCATATCTTCTGTGATAATGTAACGTTCAAAGAGAAAGTTACGTGTTTGTGTAAATTGAAATTTGAAGGAATGTAATAGAATAATATGTAAAAATTTAAGGTAATTATTTAGATTAACTCGCACCTGACCGATTTTGACGAGCTTGAAAAAAAGTGATTTTTTTCATTCTTTGGCGTTCCAAGCTCCTTAACAACATATTTCAAGTTCATCGAACTCGGTGAGGTGCGAGTTAATCTAAATAATTACCAAATTTAAAATACTTTAAGGGAAGATGTTTTCCATTCGACACTTTTTGTACAGAGATCTTCCACTGCTTCGTGTCAGATAAAGCATTGTAAATTGTAAACACTATGTATTAGCTTTTATTTGACTTGATAACGTTTTTTGAAAGATATATGACCCCAGAGACATGTACAATCTGACGCGAAGTGTCGTGACTGTTAAGGCATTATTTATAATATTATCAATTGCCCAGAACAAATTTTAAGAAAAGAGGAAACAAATAAGTGGTAAATTGGCAAAATGTAAAATAGAAATTGCATAGAACTAATAAAGCGAAATATTTTGTTGAGACTATGCAATAAATTGCTATGTTAAAGCTCGCGACGGTGTCTAAAACAAAGACATTACGATTTGTTAATACTCTATATCTATATGCACTTGTATATGATATATGACTTGTTTGGTAATGTGTAAATAAAACATCAACTTTTTTAAACGTCATTTCAGGGTATTTGATCATTAAGTGATACGGTTCCTTTTAAATTTATAAGTCACAAGAAAATTTACTTTAACAAATTTAAATAACAATTAATAAACTAAGTGCTTATCGAAATACAGTGTTTCACTCGTATTTGTCAGTCAATCAAAAATGCGCTATGTGAACATTACTAAGTTTTGCTATATTATGTACCTATTTAAAACGTTGATCTTTTACGAGTGTACAATGAAACGCAATTGTGTAAATAAAACGCAAATGTATTTTTTAGTAATAAATTTGGTCCAACATACGTTTAGTTTTTTTAGTATTCAGAATCCCTTTCTAAATGATCATTTCTGGAAGTTCCAAAGCTGTGATTGTTAAAACAAGCTGATCTTTAGTATTGTTGCGGAAAGTAGTATTTCATTTATCTTACCTATGGACTGCTTTAATTGTAATTTTACGTATTTTATTGTATTGTAACGATTTCAATTGTTTTTAAATAATGATTAAGCATTTTTGGAGGCTACTACGTTAACGGCATTACGAATACTCGCTAGAACTCGATATTTTCATTAACTTGTTAACTTTTCATAGACAATTTATGCATTTCTACACTCGTACCTATTATCCGAATAAGGAGAATAAATCCCATACCTAGTCAGACGTTGAAAGAATAAAGGGACAACGTAACACATTTGAAAACTCGTCTCTCCCTTCGGGAACTCCTCCAATCTCTGTCTGCAACGTGGCAAAGCTGAAGAGAGCGTTCGATCCTGAGCCACCCATCACATCCTAAGCTCTATCGAGCTCCGACATCGACAGCGGAACTCCGAGACCCGCGTGCAATTTCGACACGCGGAGTTGCGGAGGTCTGGCACCGTCGGCGCAATCCGCAATCGCGGAGGAATCCTCGAAAGAGGATTATACCTGACAGGAAGAAGGCTCTCCGAGTGTCTGACAGTTCGAGACGATGTACTCCGCGTTATGACTTTCGTTGTGGGTGGCCAACTAAATCCTTTCGAACGTCTGACAATGTACGTGGTCGAGATGTATATTATACCGATAGAAGAAGCAAAAGTGAGAGGAAAATTATAGGGAAAGGGGAAAGAAGCGTTATGAGGAAGTAGAGTAAACGAAACTTGAATGGAATAGGAGTGATAGGAGTGGAAAGTAGAGACGTTATCAACCCATTTTGAACTCATTTATGCTGATAATTATGGCTTCGTGGTACTTGTAACGAAAGGGGTTCTCTTCGAGATTCAGAAAACATGGGTTTACAATGGTTCTGGATACCCAGAAGTATGTCTTCATGAGACTCTAATGAAAGAGCTTTTTTATGGAGATTCAGAGAAACTGAGTTTGCAATATATTTGAATACTCAGACGTATGCCTTCATGTACTCTAAAGACAGAGTTTCTTCTTATTCGCCATTTTACAGTTTCTCAGCGATTCTTGACCATTTTCGAAGCATTATCCTTATTCTTACCCCCAGCAAACACCAATTTCTACCCATAGCTTGCGCATAAACGCGTTCTGAATGCATTTCACGGCAGCTTTCCGCTCCCAGTCTTCGAGGATTATCGCTCCTTTATGAGTCGCATTCGCAACCTTAACGCGGGGTTTCGATACAATGGGTGGGAAGTGTATTGAGGAGGAATACGTTATTGTTAGGACCGTTTCATCTCAACTTTCCACGAGTTCGCCAAGGGTAAGGAAATCAAGGAAACTCGGAGGATTTGGAACTCGGGGATGAAGTGGAATCGACCTGAATAAATAAAGCGTTCGCGAGTTTCGCTTCTTGAAAATTTGCGTGAAACTTCCGTGAGGGATACGTGGAGGATTCTGGACGATACGGCGAATATGGTCGCTATTGTTCAAAAGCTTTGAATATCGCCGCGATAGAGGATCTTTTTGTTCGCGTTTTTGTTCGCTGTCGTCGCTGTTGACAATGGAATAACAGTGGGGCGATCTCCGGTGGTGCATCGGTGGTTTAATTTTAAGAATGTAGTTGGGTAGGTTGGGATAAAGACTATTCAAGCAATTTTTAACTCGGTTTTATTGAGAGTCACAAGTGAACCTGGATTTTTAATTCCTGAGAGTTAGCGGAGTTAGCGAATACCCACTTTTCCATTTTAGTACCAATAATTATATTATACGTAAACATAATTGCACATGGAAAAAGATATTTTAGTTAGATCTCCTATTTCATCTTCCTACCTTATTAGTAATAATTATATTACATACAAGATACAAGACAGATAAGAAGGACAGACAATTTTAATAATTCGCTTACTAAATGTACGAGAATGTGCACAAATGCAAAGATACACAAACTATCAATAATAATATATACATGATACAGTAACTCATTTGGATCGTATCAATACTGGTCACCTCCTTCAATCCCGATTTCATTCCAAATAGAATCCATCCCAAACCTGAGCCGCCCTTGTTGGTTTTGCTAAAGTCTCTTCAGGAGACAAAGGGTTTCTTTGGTCTCTTCCGCTTGAAAAATTCGGTGAACGTAGATCTCCGTTTCGATTTGGCAAAATTCCATCGACCCTCGTTCGCACCGGATATCGTGACGGTGTCTGGCGGCCGTGACGTGTCACGGATTTCTCTCCTCCGTGATCGTCGATTAAAAAACCAACCCCCCATCGTCCCCTACCGTAGATAAGCCAGCGCGAACGGGCGCGTGCTCTAATTACGAAATTAACGTAATTGGAGCGGCGACGGTAAAACGGGACGACGATTCATCATTTCCCCGCCGTTTCGCAGATTTATCGGTCGCGTACTTGCGGTCGTTCATCCATCAGAGCGTCGCTGCGTCCATCTTGATAATTCCATTGAGCGTGCTCGAACGACAAATGAACCCCGGAGCGATTCGAAACGTGACCACCTGGCAGATTCCAGGTTTAACGAAGGAAACACGAAGAATTTCGTGGATTTTGTATGTCTCTTTATATTTATTGAAAAATATAGTTCATAATTTTTGTGCAGACAGGGAAATCTTTGTTGCAATGTATTTAGGTCTCGAAGAGCTTTGGACATGATTCAGTATAGTGGTCAATAAAATATAGGGGATGAAAGAAGAAAGTATTTCAATTTGGATAGAAAATGAAGGATTCACTGAATTGTTTCGTGACCGATAAATTTGCGAAACGGCGGGGAAATGATGAATCGTCGTCCCGTTTTACCGTCGCCGTTCCAATTACGTTAATTTCGTAAATTATGTTTTATTTCTTACACGTGAATTATCCCAAAAATATTGATATTTTTTAAATAGTACACCTTTCATAGTAATTTCTGTACGTATACATGGATGCGTGTATTCTCACGATACTAAGTTCAAAATCTCCATAAGCTCGCCTGACCTGAACCGTACATACAAGTTTCCACAAAGTAGGATGCAGCATAATCCCAGCAAAAAATCAACTTTTATAAAGCAGTTAGCAAGAAAGTTTGTACACGCGTTGATGGACGGTTTACGAGTGCAGCTGGAGATTTAATTTCGCTCGAAGGGTTGCTGTTTATTGCGATTGCACGGCGTATCAAGATAGATTCGCGCTTTCAAGATTTCCCAACGAGAAGAAATCCCATTATGCTCTGTAGCGAGTTTTAAAATAATTTCATCAACCGGAAACGAAGTATTCTGTTCGCCGACTTTAATATAACCCTCTGCTTTTTATATCGTCGAATTCATTAAATTGTCCGTATGCGTAGACTTCTACGTAAGGCATCCTCGAAGCAAAGTTGTTTTTTAATTCATTTGCATTGTTAATGTATAAATTTCAATGAAACAGAAATTTAAAGAAAATGAGATATTTTTCATTCTTCTGCACGATCAGATGGGTTAATTAAACAACGAGAAATGGGCGCCATTTGATCATATTCTCGAGTTGTTTTCTGTACGAAGAGGTGTGATTCGCCCCCTCTGGCGAACAGCATTATGCTTTCAGGAGAGTAACCATGTCGCAGAGCGCAATTCGACCCTTGTTTTTTCTCTTCGTATCTGTCGTTGGAGGTCTGTTTGGATTGCAATGTGGAAGCATGAAGTTTCCCGAAATTATTTATTTTATTATTCAAAAAGGAGGAAATATTTGAATTGATGTGGAACCTCTGGATATTTTTCAGTGACGAGTTGTTATCGAATAATATAAGGAATACATAGTAGAAGCATAAAGAAATGCAGACTATGGTTTAATATTTAGCACCCAGAGTTGAAAGGGCGGTTTAGAATTAACAGGAAGCTAAGTGACAAAATTAGGCTCTATTTTTTTTAATTCTCTAATCCAAACAAAATGTTTATAAAAGTTTCCCTTATTTCGTGCTTTAAATATTAGAGGAGCGAACACTTGTGGACACAACGAACCGGAAAGCAGCAGAAAAGGAAGACCACCTTTCACGTTTGTAAACTTACGTTGCACATTATCATCTGTGCGGATCCCCAAGTTTGTTCTCGCGAAAAGTAATGAATTTTCGCGAAATTAGGTCGAATTAATGCGAAAAAGTGAGCTTTTATACGCGGCAAAAATACACCCTTAATTAGGGTCTTTAGACTTTCGCGCTTCGAAAAATCGGTCATATTTGATAATTGTACGTGGGAATAGTGTAGGTCGGGCTTTCTGTAAATTTTACGCGTAGTTTTGTGGACTACTTAACGAGGTTTTAGAATTTTTGTAGCCAGAACATTCACCGTGGAGATGAAAGAAACCTACCTTTAGTCTCAGACCTGGATTGATACTTCGAAGTCGCTAACTGAAATTAAATCGTAATTTTTTATATTTTCAGAGGATTAATATATTGTAGGAGTCTCTACGAAAAATAAGGCACGGAAATTCGAACCCACGATTTTCGGATCTACATTTTTTATTAGAGTGGTGGGGAAATCTTCTTAATATCTTGTATATAACCTTCCATATAATTTTACATATTTCGCACAGTCTATACTTTCAGGTAATGGGAAAAAACGCCAGGTTTTTAGAACCCCCAAGGCAAGAAGACCACTTAACGCGCCACC